GAAAACAGATGGGCATGATAGTGCATGCCTGCAGTCCCATCTACTTTCAAGGCTGAGGTAGGAGGATTGCTTGAGCCCAGGCTGAGGCTGTAGTGAGCTGTGATCATGCCACTGCACTCCAGTGTGGGCAACAGAGAAAGACTGTCTCAGAAAAAACTAAGGGTTTTAATTTTTGGCTTTTTTCATTCTAAGCAAATATCCACTTTTGTGTCCAATTTAGCGTTAATAATTAGATATTCTTTTCCTTAAAGAGGGTCCTTTGAGGCTGGGTACAGTGGCTCACACCTGTAATCCCAATATCTTGGGAGGCTGAGGCAGGTGGATTCACTTGAGGTCAGGAGTTCCAGACCAGCCTAGCAAACAGGGTGAAACCCCGTCTCAACTAAAAATACAAAAACTCTAGCCAAGGGTGGTGGCATATACCTTTAATCCCAGCTACTTGGGAGGCTGAGGCAGGAAAATGGCTTGAACCTGGGAGGCAGAGGTTGCAATGAGCCAAGATTATGCCATTCCACTCCAGCCTGGGTGAAGAAGCGAAACTGTATTTCAAAACAACAAAAAAACAAAACAAGACAAAACAGAGGGTCCTCTGAATAATAAAAGCATCATACTCCCTGACACTACATAAAGTATATAAAAAATTTAGGGTCAGCCGGGCGTGGTGGCTCACGCCTGTAATCCCAGCACTTTGGGAGGCCAAGGTGGGTGGATCACAAGGTCAAGAGATCGAAACCATCCTGGTCAACATGGTGAAACCTCGTCTCTACTAAAAATACAAAAAAATTAGCTGGGTATGGTGGCGCGCACCTGTAGTCCCAGCTACTTGGGAGGCTGAGGCAGGAGAATTGCCTGAATCCAGGAGGCGGAGGTTGTGGTGAGCCGAGATCGTGCCGTTGCACTCCAGCCTGGGTAACAAGAGCGAAACTCCGTCTCAAAAAAAAAATTTAGGGTCATTCTCTATACACCCATGCTATAAGAATTAAAGGAATCTAGCTAGTACTTGCCATTTCGTGTGTCTTGCTTGTACACTGGCTTAAGTATGGTCAGGCGACTTACCCTGCAATCTAAAAATGTCCCAGTGATCTGAGTGAGTGAACTACTTAATTATGTATCAGATGCCTAGATTATCAGAGCACCATATGCATTTACATTACTTCTGTGTACCTCCTGGTTTCTTAGAGCCGTAATTTTAAAATTAGGATTTCATCAAATATCAAAATTTTAGTTTATTGCTAAACAACTTTATAGAAAACCATAAACTTACACTTCCACCAGCACTATACAAAAGGTCCCACTGAATATGAATTTTAAAAGCTTTTGCCAACTTGACAGGCATTCTATTTAAATTTGCTTTTTAAAGCTTAACAGTTATTCACTTTTGATGCCTATTTACTTTAGGGCATCTTCCTCCCCAACTGAGCGCTATTAAATACATTATATACTGGTTGTAAATACTAGTACATATTGAAATTTTCAGAATTACTGTACGATTTTTTTTTTAGTTTATTCTTGCCCTTATTTGGGGGCCTGTCATGCACTTCAATTATGGTATATCCCTTACTATTGGGAAGAAACCCACTGGATGACACGTCAGCACATTAAATGTGTGACATTTCTTATCTAACCAATCTTATTCAAATGTACATTTTAGTTATTTTCAGTTCCTTAAAATTCTGCAAGAATCAATCTTGTACACAGGCAGTACAGTTACAGAATTTAGGAGGAAGACTTTTGAAGTCACAAACCTCCATATTCAAGAATCTCAGCTTTACAAATAATCAGCTGTGTTATCCTGGGCAATTTACTTAAGTGCTTCAGTTTTCTCATCTATAAAATTGTAAAGTAGTGCTAACAGTATCTACCTTTATGGTCATTACCAGAATTGATCCAATACCTGCAAACTGATTGTAACAGGGCTTGGTGCAAGCACTACTTATACTATGCCTACTCAGGTGCATTAATTTTAGTTATTAGCAAATCTCTAAAATAAAATTGTTTCTCCTTTATCTTATCAAACTAGTATTTCCTAGTATGGTAGACTGCTAGTTCTCACCCTAAGTCTTTTCTGTTCCTACCGTAAGTTTTTTCTTGAGCCCGTGACCACATAGCTATGGATGACAAACTGGCTATATTTCGCTGCAGCTAAACATAGCCTCAACACACAAACTGACCAATGGGATATAAGTAGTAATAAAATGTTAACTTCATAAATTAGCTTCAGTATCTCAGCATGTTTCCCGGATACCCTTTCTATTTCCTCAATTGGGGGATGAGCACCAGAGCAAGCAACTTTGGATCTAGAAATGGAAGCTACCTTCTGAGTATGGCAGAATGCCTGCCTCTGGACAGCTACCCAAAATAAAAGTACATATTTTTTAGGGGTCCTTGTTTACAGCACTTAATAATCTGCAGCCTTATATGCCATAAAACATATGCTACAAAAAGGCCTGGTCGGGGGGGCATCAATATCTAGTTTTGGTGAGGAAGGAGACTCCTTCCTCCTTAAGCTTCTAAAACCACTTCCAAGCCTTCTACATTGCATTTCAAAAGAAGTAAAGGTTGAAAATAGAAGACACAAGGTCAGTGGAGGAGACAAAACCAGTGCCACCAGTTGGTCCTGAAGGTTACAGATCAACCCCCCCCTCACCCTAGTTCCTATCCTATAGATCACAGGCATGGTGTGGAGGAATCTTCCCTGGAAGGCAGTGTTCTTGCTTAATCATGATTAGACCTCCACCTAAGTCACGTACCCTCGCTTACCTCATCAATCACGCCTCTCTCACAGGTACCCTTGAGGAGGGAGACCCAGGCATTTGGGATTCCCTCCCCCTGTCATCCACTGTGCATCTCAATAAAAGAGAGAGCAGGCCAGCTAGTGCCTCCTGAATCTCTTCTGAAAACAACAGGCTAGGCCTTGGGGAAACTCTCCAGAAGGCACTATTTTTACTTAAAAGAGCAACCCAGAAAGCTTTTCACATGTGAGTCCTAAAACTGTAAACCGGAACCCTTTCATATGTAATTCCTGAAACTGTAAACTAAAACCTTTTCACATGTTGAGTCCTAAAACTATGAACCTAAGATTCTTCCACATGTAACATCTAAAGTATAAGCCTATATAAAGGCTGAACCTTCGTTTGTTAGACAAGCTTGGCTGTTAGGCACCTATGCCACCTTGCTCCCAGCTGAAATGAAGTCCTTCCTCCTGTATTCAGTATTAGAGATCCTTTCCCGAAGCTGCTCCTGCTACACCCTCTAAGACTGAGCCTTTAAAAGAAGCCAGGATTTTCTAGTCAGGGAGCTTGGTTCTTGAGATGGGAATATGCCAAGACTCCCCGCCCCCCCATCCCCGAATAAAAAGCCACTTCCTTTCACAAACCTGGTGTCTCTGATAGATTTTGTCTGTGGCATGTCCTGCTACATTTCTTGGTTCCCTGACCAAGCTGGAGACAACCTCTTAGGCAGTTTGCCTTGCCCTGCACAGTATCCCAGCGGAAGACTCTAGACCGCTTGGGCAAATGCAGGTCCCAAGTGCTCCCAGACAGACATTTGCCCCAGTGGAACGCTTTGTCAGAGTGGGGCAAGGTAGGCCCGACGCTGCAGATCCACGCAGAGGCTGAACACAGGGAAGGAACCAGCACTGGCAGTCTAGATGACAGAAACACAGTAGGACTGGTCCTGGGAAACTTGCCCATCTCCTTTAGGTGGAAGCCTGGTCTGATCACCCATGGGTGCTTAATTTGGCACTCCTGAACACAGCTCTCTATAACTAACCTTGGAAGTCTTGCTTTTGGTTTCAATTTAGGTGATGGGAGGTGTATGACTGTGTGAGTAAGGGGTCCAGCTGGATCCTGAACATGAAAATGAGAATGAGAGTAAGAACTCTCAATAATGTTATAGGTGAGGTTCTCAAAGAGGGCGTGAGGAAGGAGACCCCTTCCTCTTAAGCTTCTAAGACCACTTCCCCTGAACTTTCTACATAGCACTTCAAAAGAAGTAAAAGTTGAAAATAGAAGGCACAAGGTCAGTGGAGGAGACAAAGCTGGTGCCACTAGCTGGACCTCGAGGTTACAGATCAAATCCCCAACCCTAGTTCCCATTCTAGCTATAGATCACAGGCATGGTGTGGAGAAATCTTCTCCAGAAGGCAATGTTCTTGCTTAATCACGATTAGACCTCCACCTAAGTCATGTACCCCTGCTTACCTCACCAATCACAACCCTCTCACATGTACCCTCTAAGACTGTGAGCCTCTAAAAGAGGCCAGGATTTTCTAGTCAGGGAGCTCAGCTCTTGAGATGTGAGTATGCCAAGACTCCCAGCTGAATAAAAAGCCATTTCCTTTACAAACCTGGTGTCTGCAGCGTGTCCTGCTACATTTGTTTCTGAGATAGTTTCATGATCTCAGCTCACTGCAACATCTGCCTTCTGGGTTCAAGTGATTCTCCTGCCTCAGCCACCTGAGTAGCTGAGATTACACGTGTGCACCACCATGCCGGGCTAATTTTTGTATTTTTAGTAGAGATGAAGTTTTGCCATGTTGGCCAGGCTGGTCTTGAACTCCTGACCTCAGATGATCTGACCACCTCAGCCTCCCAAAGTGCTGTGATTACAGGCATGAGCCACCACACCTGCCCAATATCTAGTTTAAAACCGTATTTTTAACATAGCTAGAAACAACTATATTTTTAAGCAGAAAAAAAAACTTCCTTCTGATAGCATCATTACTATCAGTAATGTAGTACAAGAAAACCTTTCTAGTTTAAAATATTGAGTTGAAAATTAATAATGTATTTTATATTGTGGAATTTAAAAATCTAAAAGCACAGAACACATTTTCAGAAGAGGAAATTTACTTTTACCCACTTATGGTAATATTTGCAATATCAGAACATAATTAGGTTAAATAAATCAAATGAGGAATCCAAAAAAAACCTGTTCTTAAGCCAAGTACATACTGGCAATTCTGAGAAAGGAGAACACACATTAACAAAAAGAACACGCTAGCTCAAATGCAAGTTTATATGGTGAGTGTTTTCAAAGGATTTAAAAAGCATGCTCCATCAGCATAATAGCTTTTTCTCATTTACATAACAGATGCATTTCTGTCTGCTTGTGTACGGCAAAGGGTTAGAACCGGAATAAACTTATTTATAATTTCAGAAATGTGCTATTTTAGAAATGTACTCCATAGAATTTACTTCACTGCTCCTACCACTGATCCACTGATTCTTCAAATAAGCAAAGTACGGAAGGTCTTATCCCTTGAAAATGTTTTTAAACACTATCACTTTAAGTTGAAACATTGGTAGAAACATAGCAATGTCAGGTACAATGCCTATACTTAGTCTTATTTAAAATAAGAATTGAATGCACAACAGAAAATTTCTCATTTTCTTTATCATTGGAGGGAAGGGAAAGCAAGCAAGCAGAGGTGGGGGTATTGTTACACTATTTAAGGAAGAGCTGAATACAAAGACAATGAGTCTTTCATAGTCTCAACAATTCCACAATGAATAACTGTGGATTATCTCATGTATAATTTACATTGGATCAAAAAAATGGGTTCCTCTCTGTGTATATCAATTTAATTCAAACCTTATTATCTTCAAAATACAAAGATGAATACTACAAGATAAACTATAACTGCAATAGGTATTTTCTAAGTAGAAGACCAAACACCAAAGGGAATCCCTCTTTCCAATTTCTTTTGATATGACAAGATTTTGCCAGAGTGGAACTTAAATAAGCATTCTCATGGCCAAGTAAGAAACTACAGTTGTGGGTATTACCCTACAATTACCATATGTATTACATATTAAATTAAACTCAGCATTAAATATGCTTGCATAATTATGCTGTTAATGATGATAGCAGTGATGATACTGGTGGAAAAAGCCTGTCTTTAGCCCAAGAAAAGTCAGGGAGAAAAACCTTAACAAGCAGAAAGCAGAGAGTTGGGCATTTTTTGACTAGGAAAGAGAATTTTAAGCATAGAAATATAAAAAGAAAAGTACTCCCTTATTTCCCCTATGTGGAAATAATATGATATATTTATTAGATATACTAGACAAGAACAGAACTAAGTACTCCAACTCTACTGCAGCATTACAAAAAAATCATCCCTTCACCACAGTGTAAGATTTAAGGACAACCTGCCCAAGGATGCACGTTATATAAAACACAGCAAGATTGCTGCTGCCCTGCCAAATACTTCCAGTCTCTACCCAGGTCCTACTGAGATACTGGTGGTCCCAATTAGTTTTATCGAAATAAATCTTTAAAGAAAAAGATGAAGCATTTAAAAAGACAAGTCAAAATACTTCAGGAACCACATATCCAACACAAACTTTATCCTGAAATGAGTTGTTTGCCTTGCACTAATAAACTTTTATTTCACTCGAATTAGAGAAAAAATCTTCTATACATTAAGAATCTTCCCTGCCCAATAATTCAAAGAAAAAAATGCAAAATGATTAGTAAAGAAAAATATAAGAATTAACAGACTCTTTAAATTTGTTTTAAATATTTTTAAAGTTAAAAAGTGTTTAAAGTTTGTAATTCCTAGTAGGAAAACATTAACTGAATGAATACCCTAATGGCAAACCACTGTAAAATGCTTCAGCTGCATTTGGGGGAGGAATAGGGATTATCTTCAAAGCACCCCAGCTCTCCTGATGAGAGGGTCAGAGGTACACTGGTTTGTATTATTGCGACATCCATAAGGTGATCTAGGTTGCTTTTCCTTCAGCAAAGGCTTTATTTATCAGAAGGGCATTATGCTTGACCTCCAAATTTGGCTGACAATTTGCTGATAAGATTCATAACCTTTGGGTTGCTCTGGTATTTTGACATATTTGCTGGGTTCTGAGCCACATCCTGGAAGGCCACCATAACTTCTGGATCCTGAAAAGAAATGGTTTGTTAGTATTTTAAAAGCGTCCTACTAGGTCAGTAAGTTTATTAACCTATATTCCATCTATTATTTAGACCTATAATTTGGTCATGGGTTAAATGGGGTTTAGAAAAGTCCCTGAAGTAACAAAATCAAGCTGAATTATCTCATTTGAACTACATGATGAAAAAAAGCACAAACAATTTTGATACAAAGAAAAGAACTGGATTTAATTGCCCACTATTACTAAGTATTTCCTAGTTTTCAAAATTTAAGTTACTGTGCATAAAGAAAACAAATCTGCATAATTAGCTATTTGCTAACTGTGATAAATAAAAAATAGGTACAAGAATAACCTTTGTCTTCACACAGAATTATGAAAGAACTGCCTTAATGATACAAAGTCCAAAGTTTTTCTTCCAAGTCTTACCTGCATGGCTGCAAGAACCTCTGGATCACTAAGAATTTCATTGAGTCCAGGCATTCCGGCCATTCCAGGCATGCCCCCTCCCATTCCAGGCATTCCTCCAGGAAAACCACCAGGCATTCCCCCAGGAAAGCCACCTGTAATAAAAAATAAAAATAGAATAAAATAAATAAAAAATGAAAGAACTGTGTAGACACTAATCATATTCCCAAATATTCTGACACAGTATTTCACCCACAAAAAGTGCGGGTTCAAAGAATAAGGGTTCCACTAAGCACAAAGTAGTCTGAAAATTCTAATCAGACTGCAACAAGACACAAGTTATAGCTTCTAATTATCTCTTTAAAAACAAGGCTATAAATCAGACTTTGCTACCTCCTGGATTAACTTTTTTCTAGTAATAATACTGTTTTTGTTTGTTTTGAAACAGAGTCTTGTTCTGTCGCCCAGGCTAGAGTGCAGTGGTGCCATCTCGGCTAACTACAACCTCTGATTCCCAGGTTTAAGCAATTCTCCTGTCTCAGCCTCTCAAGTAGCAGGGACTACAGTCATGTACCACCACACCTAATTTTTGTATTTTTGGTAGAGATGGGGTTTCACCAGGCTGGTCTCGAACCCCTGACCCCAGGTGATCTGCCTGCCTCAACCTCCCAAAGTGCTGGGATCATAGGTGTGAGCCACTGCACCTGACAACTTTTTTCTAGTAATAATACTGTTAAAAAAGACTAATCTCACCTTAAAAACAAAGACTCATCTAACATTCCCTAAGATTACAAAGTTAGTCATTTTGATTATCTTTCAATTCTCCATTCTTGAATACTTGTCTATTTCAATTTAAAATTAATTCATAGGAGTTTAGGTTTTTGTTTCAAATAATACTCATCTAGTATAGTTCTTCCTTCGGTTAACAACTACTTAAACTGCTTGTTTATATGTTGCTTTTTCATTTCCATCTCAAATAAAATAAAAATTATCTCAAGGTAAAACCAGAAACCTGCATTTTTAACAAGAATTCCTGGTGCTTCTTTACAGAGAATAATGCTCTAGCAAAAAGGATTTGATTCTCCCAGTATAATTTGTTAGATTATAAACCCAAATAATCTATTCTGTTCTTCAATATCATAAACCTGTATGTCTACTGGAGATATTCTAAAATCATTATCAATAATATAGGGAAAGAGGCCAGGCGTGGTAGCTCACGCCTGTAATCCCAGCACGTTGGGAGGCCGAGACAGGCGGATCACAAGGTCAAGAGATCGATACCATCTTGGTCAACATGGTGAAACCCCGTCTCTACTAAAAATACAAAAATTAGCTGGGCGTGGTGGCGTGTGCCTGTAGTCCCAGCTACTTGGGAGGCTGAGGCAGGAGAATTGCTTGAACCCCAGAGGCAGAGGTTGCGGTGAGCCGAGATCACGCCATTGCACTCCAGCCTGGGTAACAAGAACAAAACTCTGCTTCAAAATAATAATAATAGTAATAACATAGGGAAAGAGATAACATTAATATATTCTACAAAGGGTCACTATAAGTAAAGCCGTAATAAAGAAGGAAACACATAATAAAGTCATTTCTACCTGCTTTAACAGTAATTAAAACACAACCATTAATAACTAACAATCAGAGAGGAAGAAATCTAAGTGGACCATAAAACAACTTCTAGCTTCTTTTGCTGCTCCTACTTAATGCTTTGAAAACTTAGTGCCTACCCATAACAAAATTACTGACCCAAGGCTTGTCAAATTTAAATAAAATGTACTTAACAAAAAATTATTTCTAGTACTAGTCCAACATTAGCAGTCATTTTCTAAAACAAAGATATCTAACAATAAGATTATTTATATTTTAAACAGGAAGTAAACTATGAGCTAAGTTTAATTTCCTACTTTTTCTTGAAACAGGAGGTCATCCTCAATATTTGTTCTAGGTATGTTTTCAGTTGCTGTGCACATACTCTTTCAGAATAAAGAACAGATTTTCTAGCCTCATATCATGTAACTAAGTTCTAACCAGTGACATATAAGCAAACGTGACCTCTAAAAACTTTCCTTAAAAGAAAGCTAGTTACCATTTAACAACTGGAGATAGCTGTTTAAAAAACAAAAACTTAAGTCTCGTCCTGGTCTTTAAATTCCACATTGCTGTAATCAGAAAGCACTCAATAAATCTGCGTGCCTCTTCTGTCTCTTCTATCTGCGTGTTAGTCCTGTCCTCACTAGCAATATCTGATCATATTTGAAAGAGTAATCCGCTACTTTTACACTGGACTAAAAACATTTTTATGCTTAGTAATTCCATCATTTCTTTAACCTATAGTATCTTCATGAATATCACTGTATAAGAGAACAAAATTAGAATATCACTTTATAATAAACATTACTTAAGTATTACATTAAAATATTATTGTATAACAGAACAAAACAGTTTTAACTTTTTAAAAAATATACCTGGAAAAGAGCCATACTGAGCTCCTGACTGTCGTCTGGCTTCTTCCTCCTTTAATAAAAAAGGAAATATATAATAGAAGAAATAAGTGCTGTCCATGCAAAACCATGGAAAAACTGTAAAATAACCTAGTAGATGGCAATACTGAACTTAAGTATATACTCAATATTGCTTTGAAAAATTTTCTCTAAATGGATTCTCAGTGAGCATTATTCTTGGTAATAATTTCAAGTAAAGTGTTTAACTTCTACTCTGGAAACAAATCTGGAAAATGATTTACAGTGCTAATATGGAAACTATAAATTCTTCTTTTTTGAGACAGTTTCACTCTTTTGCCCAGGCTGGAGTGCAACAGTGTAATCTCAGCCCACCGCGACTTCTACCTCCCGGGTTCAAGTGATTCTCCTGCCTCAGCCACCTGAGTAGCTGAGATTACAGGCATGCACCACCATGTCTGGCTAATTTTGTATTTTTAGTAGAGATGGGGTTTCTCATGGTGGTCAGGCTGGTCTTGAACTCCTGACCTCAGGTGATCTGCCCACCTCAGCCTCCCAAAGTGCTGGGATTACAAGCATCAGCCACTGAGCCCAGCCTTTCATCCTTGTTTTAAAATGCCTACACGGAACAACAAGGCTAGATTACCAAGACAGCCATGACTTTTGTTTCCTATTTACATCTTTTCCATACTATCCCTACACAATAAAAATGTAGATTTATTGATGTTTTGCTTCTTTTTAAAAGACAAAATGAAAGAAAAATAAATTTCCCTCATATGATATAGCTATAAAATTATCAAGGAGATATATAAATGTAAAATTTAAAGATTATGAACTATAACCTTAAAAATCAAGTATGATGCTTAATATTACATGACAAAAAATTAGGATGCAACATGTTATATAATACAGCCATATGTTCTTTCATCCAACAATGTCAGAAATAAGTAGGTAAATTATTGTTATTTTTTAAAGAGGTAGCATCACACTATGTTGCCCAGGCTAGTATTGAACTCCTGGGCTCAAGTGAACCTCCCACTTCAGTTCCCCAAACAGCTGTCACTATAGGCACTTGACACCTTGCCAGAATCAATTTTAAATAACAACACATCCACTGTCAGAAAAGAGGAAGAATCATAATTTAATTAATCTGGCCAAGCATCCTCAAAAGATCAAACAATAATGCCACCACGTTTTAATTACTTGACCTGGAAAAACTCTTGATTTTATAAAAACACAAACAAGAATACAAAATAGTGAAATAAAAGCTCAATGAAAAATTTAAGACTAAAAATGTTCCCAAAATTATACACAGTGAAAGTGGACTCCTTATAAGTAATATCATTACTCTACAGAACTAAATAAAAGAGCCAGAAATTAGAATTTTAGTGTCCTAAAAACTGTATTTTCCTTTCATGGCTTAGCTATAGGAAATTTACCCTCTGGGCTCTCTCATGCTCTTCTCGAGCCTTCTTAACTCTTTCTATTCTTTCTTTGATCTCTCGCTCTTCACGTTTTCGCTCATACTTTCTCCGATGTTCTGCAATTTTCTGTGCCTAGAAAAAAGAGCCACAACTTAGCCTGCTCCAAAAGCTGAATAAGGTTGACACAAGTATTCTCTGTGGAGAAACATTTAATTCAACATACAGTTCTGAAAAATGACAGATTTCCCTTGTAGAAAATGATGTAACACAAGTTCAGGATTTAACAAAACCAACCTCAACTGCATAAGGCACTGTAAAACAGAGGAACGGGCCTGGTATCTGACGTTAAAGAGAAATGTTATAATCTCAGATTAACAAACAGGTTTCAAAGTGCACGAAAATTCTTGCCTGCTAGTTTCTACCAGATACACAGTGTTTAGGTTTCAGAAGGACAGCTGAGTTCAGTAGGAAGAGTATTATTAAGGATGTCTGCCGTGGAAGGCAGAGACTGGGAACACATATTCCAAGTATATACAATAGTATATTTAAAGTTTCCATATCCATAAAATAGGAGAGGAAAAAATATTTAGTCTTATCAAACTGCTACAGTCTACATTATAGAGGGAAAACATGTAAATATGTGTACCAGACACTAGTAAATAGTAGTATCAAATAAATTATCTGCATCTGTTATATTCAACTGTCACTTTAGCTTGTTTACAACTTTGCTGACCAGTTGGCACTGTTACAAGAAAACAGAAAACTGGCTGGGCACGGGGGCTCACACCTATAATCCCAGCACTTTGGGAGGCCGAGGTGAGTGAATCACGAGGTCAAGAGATCGAGACCATCCTGGTCAACAAGGTGAAACCCCGTCTCTACTAAAAATACAAAAATTAGTTGGGCATGGTGGTGTGCGCCTGTAGTCCCAGCTACTCGGGAGGCCGAGGCAGAAGAATTGCTTGAACCCAGAAGGCGGAAGTTGCGGTGAACCGAGATCGTGCCATTGCACTCCAGTCTGGGTAACAACAGCGAAACTCCGTCTCAAAAAAAAAAAAAAGAAAGAAAACAGAAAACCAAATGAACTCTCTGGCTGTAAATAAGTAAAATTCAATACAATTTCCACTGGCTTAAAACCTCTGAGAGTAAATTCCTGACAGCTGAATTTCCCACAAAATGAAGGATTTACCATGTAAATACATTAAAATTATTTTAACCAACAATTTTAGAGAAAAATCATCCTTAAAAGTTGGAATGTTCAAAAAAAAAGCTGGAATGTTCTACCTTTGGGAATTCAGTATTATTTTTAAAAGACTGAAACTTTTTTTTTTTGTTCAAGACAGTCTCGCTCTGTCACCTAGGCTGGAGTGCATTGGCACAATCCTGGTTCACTGCAACCTCTGCCTCCCAGGTTCAAGTGATTCTCCTGCCTCAGCCTACCAAGTAGCTAGGACTACAGGCGTGTGCCACCATGCCTAGCTAATTTTTTATATTTTAGTAGAGACAAGATTTCACTATGTTGGCCAGGCTGGTCTTGAACTCCTTGACCTCAGATGATCCACTCACCTCAGCCTCCCAAAGTGCTAGGATTACAGGTGTGAGCCACCGCGCCTGGCCAGAAAGAATGAAATGTCTTAACTTCCACAAGGCCTTCTTGCTTTGTAAAGTGGCCATGATATATAAGGACACACCACACTCAATCTTGGATAATGCTAATTATAGATTTTATATTTGTTTCCTTGTTGTAAACCTGATACCTCCTTTTCTAATTTTCTGGTTATAATTCCACCGCAGGCTTCCAAACAAAGTTAACAGACCTTGCTCTAATAAAGCATGATAAATGAAAGCATGAAAACCTAGTAAGATCTCTAGAGTTGAGCATAAACTTCAGCAATTACAGATTTTTGTCTTCCAATGGTTTGCTTTTTTGCTTGTTTTTCAGATGAATTATGGCTGCCAGGGTAAGCACTGGAGCGATGGAGTATTAAACTAATGACGTTCCCTTTCTCTACTTTAACATACCCTAGGTTGAACTTCTTTCAGCATTGCACTCGCATCTTCATCATAATCCAATTTACAGGCAAGGGCAAGATCATGGGCTGCTGCTTCCCAGTGGCCTAGAAGTCTGAAACAGATTTACACTCATTTTAGGAGCCTTTTATACATATTAACCTATGTACATGATTATCTTTCTTCCTTACAAAAAAGGATTGTTTTAGAACAGGTTTAAGTTAAATATTAACTATAAACTTTTATAATAAACTAATTCAATTACTATATACCACTATTAGTTAACTATATAAAAACCCAAAACATTAAAATTTCCTCTACGGTAATTCTAAAGCTGCTCTTCTACTAAAAGCTAAAATACAAATGAAACCTTTCTTAAATTAGAATATCACAAAATTTCTAAAAAGTAGGTAGAGTCATAACTTTCAACTCACCCAAACCAGGATGAACACAATGTGTTAGCATTTAGCTACCTTCTATGTAACACAGAGAACAAAATAATACATGTGTACAGGCTTTATAAAAAACACAGAACAGGTAAACCAGAAACTAAAGGTTGGTGGGGGCAGGTGAGAATGGGGTAGAGGACACAGCAACAGAAATGAGAATTCTCTGGGTTTACCTTTTAACTCAGGTTTGACTCTTCAAACCTTTAAATGCTTCACATACTTGAAAAATAAGTATGAATTAGAAAAATGGAAACAAAGCAAACCCTAAACCTGAATACAAACAGAAATAAGCCAGGTGCAGTAGATCATCTGAGGTCAGGAGTTCAAGAAGAGCCTGGCAAACGTGGCAAAACAGTCTCTACTAAAAATACAAAACTAGCCAGGAATGGTGGTGCGTGCCTATAATCCCAGCTACTAGAGAGGCTAGGTAGAAGAACTGCGGGGCAGAGGTTGCAGTGAGCCAAGACTGCACCACTTCACTCCAGCCTGGGTAAAAGAGCAAAATTCCTCCTCAAAAAAAAAAGGGGGCGGGCTGTGTATTGCACTAACGTAAGTTACACAGAAGAAATAAATTCAAGTAACTTTTAATACAGCTATTTTTGACTATATATTTCAAGTGCATTATATATGCTAAGAACATTCCTCACCGGGTGTGGTGGCTCAAGCCTGTATTCTCAACACTTTGGAGAACAGCCTGGCCAACATGGTGAAAACCCCCTCTACAAAAAATACAAAAAATGAGCCAGGCATGGTGGGGTACAACTGTTAAGTAATGCCAGCTACTCAAGAGGCTGAGGCAGGAGAATCACTTGAACCCGGAGCCAAGGTTGCAGTTAGCCGAGATTGTACCACTTCACTCCAGCCTGGGTAAAAGAGCAAAACTCCTCCTCAAAAAGAAAAAGGGGGGGGGGTGTATTACATTAACAACGTAAGTGACACAGAAGAAATGAATTCAAGTAACTTTTAATACAGTTATTTTTGACTATATATTTCAAGTGGGATATATATCCTAAGAACATTCCTGACTGGGCGCAGTGGCTCACTCCTATATTCTCTATACTTTGGGAAGGCCAAGGAGGGCAGATTACTTGAGGCCAGGAGTTTGAGAATAGCCTGGCCAACATGGTAATACCCCACCAGCCCCCGACTAAAAAAATACAAAAAATTAGCCAGGCATGGTGGGGCACAACTGTTAAGTAATCCCAGCTACTCAGGGGGCTGAGGCAGGAGAATCACTTGAACCCAGGAGGCAACGTTGCAGTGAGCCAAGATCATACTACTGCACTCCAGCCTGGGTGATAGAGCAACACTCTGTCTAAAAACAAAAAGCAAAACAAAACAAAAATGTTCCAAAAAACCTTCAAACTTTACTTAAGAGATATACAGTTTTTAAGGTATTATAATTCTGAAACAATTTTATGTATATCACAGCATTGAAGTGTAAAACTAGAACAAAAATTTTTACCACATGTGTCAAAAATACAAACTAAAAAGTAAACCAAAACATTTAATGTTAAATTTTAATAGAAAATATCAGAATTTAAAAATTTACTTTAAATTATTAATTATTTAAATTATTAGTGTCATAATTTCAAGTTTTTTTCCTTAAATTCATGATTAAAATTTTTTTCTAGCTGCTCATTGAAGCAACAGTACATACCAGAAACAATGAACATATGCAGTGCTCAAATCTTAGTTTCCATTAAAATGAACCATGATTTCCCACAGAAATGGCTTAAGTCTGACACAAGCAAAGCACAAGATGAGCCAATGCTGTCTTGTATTAGAAGGGCAAGAAATACTTGGACTAATGGGATTTCAAAAGGATCAACAGCAATGCATGAGCTTTTCCTGTGCCCACATAGCATTAATAAATTTTGTTTCAACTTATAATGTTTATCTTTATCATGTGACACTGTAAAATCCACTAGAGCTACTCTAAGTCAGCTAACACAGTTGTCCCAAACATATCCATCCTTATCTCCATCAACATTTGAGGCCTAAGACCTTTCAACCCATGTAACATGTGAAAGTCACTGAATGCTTCATCCCCAAGATACAAATATTCATTCATAAGTTTTGCTGCCAGGAATAATTACTAATCGGGTTAAATTCACTTCTCTATGCCCCCTGGCCTTTTCCTAATTTTTCAGGTCACCTAGCAGTGACTGAAGCAGTTCCAGGCTGGCATACTCCTTTTCCTATAATATACTGATGGTTCAATGCTAAATTAGAGAGTCTGAAAATAAGATAAAATTTCTAAGGACACTAATAAAAGATCATTATTTTCTTTTCCTGGAATTAAATTTTAAATAAAAATCCTTACCTTACATTTGGCCATATGTAGTCAAAAACTGGTAACAGGAGCTTTGTTTAAATGAAAGGAGTGAAAAGAATTTTTATTTTCTTATTTCTTCCTTCCTATATTCTTACCTCCTTTTTTAAAAATTTCTTTTTTTTTTCCTTTTAAGCAGCTGTCTACAAGCTATCTCACTTCTTGATAGTAAGTATATATTAATTTGAAAATTAAGCCATTAGGAACTTTTGTTTTTGTTTAAACAAAGTATCTTAACACATCAGATTTAAATGTAAAGAGTTCTGAAAATAATTAGATTCAATTATTTACCTGTGTGCTTTCCCTCGCCACTTGTAAGGTTGAGCTGAATCAGGATTTATTTCAATGGCTCTGTCACAGTCTCGGATGGCAGCATTTGGCTTCTGTAATTTGACGAAGACACTGAAAAATAAGTGTGATATTAAAAAGTATTCATTTCAGTATCTGAGTCATGGCACCCCCCTCAAAAAAAAGTATTCATTTCAATAAAACTTTCGGGATCAACACAGAAGCAACTCTATTTAAACAAATGTGCAGAAATTATTCACCAGAAGATACTTTCCTGTTGAGAGTTCTCACCTGGCCCTCTTGGCATATAAAATGGCCAAGCGAGGATTCAGCTTGATGGCATCTGTGAATAAGTCAATGGCTTTCTGCAATTCACCTAAAGTGAAACAAAAGTTATCAAAAAATATTCAGAGGATAAAAATATTAATAAAGTTTTGATCTCTTATCCAGTTAAGTCTTTTACATTTTTCTTTTAATCAAGTAAAAAAAAAAAAAAAGACAACAGTCTAAGTTATATACAAAAACTGGCTTTTGAAAGCAAATCTTACCACACCTATATTGTAACTCACTTGAGACAGGACAATTTCTGGGTACATAAGCCTCTAACTAACAATACGATAGCACATTCTTAGAATGACCCATATTTATTTGGTTTGAGAAAAAAAAGGATAAAATCAATTTAAAGGATAAGGTAAATTAATTCCATTGATTTTCTTTTATCCATTAAATTAAAAAGCTAAAATTGGCCGGGCGCGGTGGCTCACGCCTGTAATCCCAGCATTTTGGGAGGCCGAGGCGGGTGGACCACAAGGTCAAGAGATCAAGACCATCCTGGTCAACATGGTGAAACCCCGTCTCTACTAAAAACATAAAAAATTAGCTGGGCATAGTGGCGCGTGCCTGTAATCCCAGCTACTCAGGAGGCTGAGGCAGGAGAATTGCCTGAACCCAGGAGGTGGAGGTTGTGGTGAGCCGAGATCACGCCATTACACTCCAGCAGCCTGGGTAACAAGAGCAAAACGCCGTCTCAAAAAAAAAAAAAAAAGCTAAAATTAAGCTTACAAGGGAAAAAGAACCCATGCTAACTTCACAGGGCTGATTTTAAAAGAAAACAATAGACTCACTTGAATTCAAAGAAATGGTACAAAAATTTAAGACAACTAGAATTCATAAAAAACCATAATCTATACTACTTTAATTCACTGTGTCCTATTCTCATAGTTAGCTTTTTTTTTTTTTTGAGACAGAATCTCACTCTGTTGCCCAGGATGCAATGCCATGGCACGATCTTGGATCACTGCAGCCTCCACCTCCCGGGTTCAAGCACTTCTTCTGCCTCTGCTTCCTGAGTAGCTGGGATTACAGGTGCCCACCTGATTTTTGTATTTTCGTAGAAACAGGGTTTCACTATGTTGGCCAGGCTGGTCTGAAACTCCTGACCTCAGGTGCCCCACCCACCTCGGCCTCCCAAAGTGCTGGAATTACAGACATGAGCTACCACGCACAGCCAGTTAGCTTCTTTATTAATCCCTTAGGCATTCAATAAAGAAAACACATTATAGAGTCAGAACAGTTCTTTGCACGAAGTCTAATTCTTGGGGAGGCAAGACAAATCCAGAGTATTTTTTTTTAAGAGACAGGCTCTAACTCTCACATAAGCTATAGTACAGTGGCATGATCATAGCTCGTAGCTGAAGTGATCATCCCACCTCAGCTTCCTGAGCAGCTGGGAATACAGGCCCATACCACTAAACCCGGCTAATTAAAAATTTCTTAGAGACTGGATCTCAGTGTGTCAACTAGGCTACTCTCAAACTCCTGGGCTCCATTGATGCTCCCACCTCAGCCTTCTGAGTAGCTGGGATTACCACTGTGCCAGGCCAAACACAAATTTTAAGATAAATGTCACAATTCACTGTGAAAGCTACTTAGCCAGTTAGTGAACGAGCAAAGGACTTGAACTCACAAAAACAACACAGAAAAAAATGCTCAGTATTATTAACTACTACAGATACCTCTTACAGGTAATTACACTTGGATGTATAATAAGCAACTCAGATCTACCATGTTCAAGACTTAACTTTTTTTTTTTTTTGAGATGAAGTCTTGCTCTATCACCAGGCTGGAGTGCAATGGTGTGATCTCGGTTCACTGCAATCTCTGCCTCCTGGGTTCAAGTGATTCTCCTGCCTCAGCCTCCCCAGTAGCTGGGACTACAGGTATGTGCCACCGTGCCCAACTAATTTTTGTAGAGATGGAGTTTTACCTTGTTGGTCAGGATGATCTCGATTTCTTTTTTTTTTTAAAGACAGGGTTTCACCATGCTGGTCAGGCTGGTCTTAAACTCCCGACTTCAGGTGATCTGCCCGCCTTGGCCTCCAAAGTGCTTGGATTACAGGCGTGAGCCACTATGCCCGGCCTGATCTCGATTTCTTGACCTCTTGATCCACCTGCCTCGGCCTCCCAAAGTGCTAGGATTACAGGAGTGAGCCACCACGCTCAGACAATTTTTTTTTTTAAGACAGGATGTTGCTCTGACACCCAGGTTGGAGTGCAGTGGCAGAATCACAGCTTACTATAGCCTCAACTTCTTGGGCTCAAAGGGTCCTACTAGCCTCAAGGGAATCTCCCATTTCAGCCTCTCAATTACCTGGGACTACAGGAATGTGCCATCACACCCAGCTAATTTTTCGTGTTTTTTTTAAGAGATGGAATCTCACTGTGTTGGCCAGGCTGATCTTGGACTTCAGCCCCTCAAAGTGCTGGGATTATAGGTGTGAACCACCACACCTAGACGAAACTGAAAATACTAAATTCCTATTTCCAAACCTATTCCTAATCTGTATCTTCCCAACTAAATAAATGGTTCCCCCATACATTTAGAACAGGAGTTCGTAAACATTTTCTGGAAAGGGCCAAATGAGAATTATTTTAATCTCTGCAGACAATACAATCTGCCATAACTACTCAATGATGCTGCTGTAGTGGGAAAGCAGCCATAGTTTAAGTGCCAGACCTGAGATTCAAACCATAGCACTCTGGCTCCATAATCCACACTTTAACTACATTCTCCAAAAAAAAGTACCTTCACCAGCTCTTAGTGGGGCTTGAATTCACAATCCCTGATTTAGAAAGCTAACCTTTTATCCTTTAGGATATACTATAAAATTGCACAAACTCTAAAATCAGAACTAGGTTAAATTTACAGTCACATGAACAGAGTTTAGAAAAAAAGAAAACAAAAACATGATTTACTAGGTAATAGCCTCCTCATTTTCATTTTGTTACATATTGCTGAGATGGTAAATTTAAAAATGGATGGGGCATAGTGCCTCCCACCTGCAATACTAGCACTCTGGGAGGCTGAGCTGGGAAGCCTGCTTGAGGCCAATTCAAGACCAGCCTGCGCAACAGGATGAAACCCTATTTCTACCAAAAAAAAAAAAGATAATTAGCCAGGCATGCACTTGTATTCCCAGCTACTCAGGAGGATTGCTTGAGCCAGGAAACTGAAACTGCAGTGAGCCATGACCATGCCACTGCACTCCAGCCTAAGTGGCAGAGTGAGACCTTGTCTCTTAAAACTTAGGTGGGAGGAAAATTAGCAAAAGTTTCATGTGAAAAAGAAAAGGAATGGTACAGAAGAGCAGTGGCTGGGAACAAATTGATGGGTATGAATTAAAAGATGAAATAGGCCGGGCGTGGTGGCTCACACCTGTAATCCCAGAACTTTGGGAGGCCGAGGTGGGCAGATGACCTGAGGTCAGGAGTTTGAGACCAGCCTGACCAACATGCTGAAACTCCATCTCTACAAAAAAATACAAAAATTAACCAGACGTGGTGGCACATGCCTCTAATTCCAGCTACTTGGGAGGTTGAGGCAGGAGAATTGCTTGAATCCAGGAGGTGGAGGTTGCGGGGAGCCGTGACCATGTCTTTGGACTTTGCCGCAGCCTGGCAACAAGCGCAAAACTTTATCTATCTATCTATCTATCTAAATAAATAAGTTAGTTAAGTAAGTTGAACTACGTGAAGAAAAGCTTTCCAGAAAAGCAGCAAACACAAGTAAAAAAACATTCTTGGACAGTAAAGTCTGACTAGAGAAAACAAAGCTGGAGAATTAAAATATAGTGTTTAACTCTGGCAGGTCTATAATCCTCTGATGAAGATCTTAAATATGTATACAAAAGTTCATCACAGGTTACAAGCAATAGAATAGTATAATAAAAAACAGCTCTAAGAAAAAACAGAATAGTATAATAAAAAACAGCTCTAAAAAAAATAAGTAAACAGAAAGGAAGTACAGGTGGTAGAATCACAGAATGTTTAAAATATGTATTGACTTGGAACATCAATACTGACCTCATTCTGAAAATAACTCCAAGTCATCTTCTAATCTAATAATGAAGTCCAAATGCACATGAGCACTATACAATAGCATCTAGTCAACTATGGCATTGTGACACACTATCACAGTTATAAAGATGTTTGCATGAAATATTACTCATGCAGCCACAGTACCCAAATTTACACGATTCTTATAAATTATAACTGATTAAACATTATATTTAATACTACCATGGGCCAGGTACAGTGGCTCATGCCTATAATCCCAGCACTTTGGGAGGCCGAGGTGGGCGGGTCACTTGAGAATTTGAGAAATAAGGAATCTGAGACCAGCCTAGCCAACATGGCAAAACCCCATCTCTACTAAAAATACAAAAATTAGCTGGGCACAGTACCACACACCAGTAATTCCAGCTACCAGGGAGGCTGGGGCAGAAGAACTGCTTGAACCCAGTAGGTGGAGGTTGCAGTGAGCTAAGATTGCACCACTGCGCTCCAGCCTGAGTGACAGAGCAAGACTTTGTCTCAAAAATAAAAAATTAAATTAAATTTTAAAAACTACCATAAAAAAAGAACCTATTGTTACCTTGGAGAGTTATATATATATATATACACACACACACAAAAAAAATACTATCAGCACTTTCTCACTCTGATGGGATTTTCTCAAGAGGATCTAACATGCAGGGACTAGAAATAAGAATGGTATGCCTAGGAACATCATCTGTCAAGGGTATTACTATGTAAAAAGTTAAGGGTCACTGCTCTAATACTACCTTTTTTTTTTTAGCCTTTCACCTCTTTAAAGCCTCTTCTCAGTAGAAAAACACCATGATACAGTCAGGAAATCAGAGGCACTGAATCAAATCAGGATCTGTCCTTGCAGAGGCAAGGTAATTAATATTGAGTGATTTCAGTCTCTTTATCAATGAGGAAGGGGTGGCTGGATAATAGGACACTATCTTCCCCAGTACAGGATAGGTACATGTAAGTTCTGTTCCACTTTATCACTGTTTAAGTTACTGCAATAAAGAAGACAATATTCTGACTACCATAGAAATGTAGCAAAAAGATTACTCACCATCATTTAGGGCTTCAATAGCAGCCACTTTCTTATCATTTGCCTGATCCATCATCTCCTCTGTTATCTAGGAAGAAAATGAAAATCATTTTAGGATTAAGAGAGAGAGAGAGAGAGAGAGACAGAGAGACAGAGAGAGAGAGAGAGAGAGAGAGAAGGAAGCGATCTGGACTTTCTAGGCATGAGGCACAGTCACAATTTCCATTTTCATTCATTCTTTAGTCTCCAGAGAACAAAGAGACAATTATGATAACTGATTAGTGAGAAACTACACACAATGGGTTTTTACCTTTTATACTAAACAAATTTCACTCTTATACTCTGCCCTAGACAAAACCTTTGCTTAACCTTCCATCCCAACCAAAGCATACCACCTCCTTCCTAGCTATCCATAAATATTAAACCTAATCTCCTCACAAAGGGATAACTAGCTCCTTTTAAGTTTGAATCCTTAGGCAAGAAAGTTCTCATTCCTTTGTTCCCACAAACAACTATTGAGCCCCCATACTATACAGACAAACCAAACACTGTACAAGATGCTGACAGTACAAAAATCAATTAAGAACAAAAACATATCATCTGGGTGACTGAGGGAGATTCCATATCTCCAAAACAAAAAACAAAAACAAAACTGGGCATGGTGGCACATGCATCTGGTCCCAGCTACTCAGGAGGCTGAGTCAGGAGGATTGCTTGAGCTCAGGAGGTCAAGGCTGCAGTGAGTCATGATTGCGCCATGCACTCCAGCCTGGGTGACACAGAGTGAGACCTTGTTTCACCCCACCTCTGCAAAAAAAGAACAAAAAAACTTACAGCAAATATCCTCTTAAAATGGAAAGCTCATCAGTTCTTTAATCATAGGAAAAAGATATATACACTCTATCACCACCAAGTGTCTAAACTGAAGGTGCTGGCTAACTCATTAAGAAAGTAATTTGATGCCAGGTGCAATGGCTCATGCCTGTAATTCCAACAGTTTGGGAGGCTGAGGCGGGTGGACTGCTAGAGTCCAGGAGTTCAAGACCAACCTGGGCAACATGGTGAAATCTCGTCTCTACAAAAAATAAACATAAAAAGTAAATATTAAATACAAAAATGACTTTTTCTTTACTTAAAGACAGGATCGCCCTCTGTCACCCAAGCTCCAGTGCAGTGGTGCAATCATGGCTCACTGCAACCTCCATCTCCAGGGCTCAGCCTCCTCTCCCATGTGGTTCAGACAACAGGCTCACACCCAGCTCAATGTTTCACATATTTTTTTTAATAGAGACAGGTTTTCATCATGTTGCTCAGGCTGGTCTGGAACTCCCGGACTCAAGCAATTTGCCTGCCTAAACCTCCCAAAGTGCTGGGATTAACAAGCGTGAGCCACCACTACTGGCTGCAATTTCATTTTGAAGGTAATGCAGGACACAGGACATAAAATCTATATTCAGAGGAAGAGGATGTGTGTGGTCTAACCAGACACCTTCCAAAATAAATCTGGAACTCCAGATGCCAATACTGGCAAGCATAATGGTATAAACCTATCCTACAGAAGTGGACAATTGAGTAGTTAGATTAAAAGAACTTCCCAGGCCGGGCGCGGTGGCTCAAGCCTGTAATCCCAGCACTTTGGGAGGCCGAAGTGGGTGAATCACGAGGTCAAGAGATCGAGACCATCCTGGTCAACATGGTGAAACCCCATCTCTACTAAAAATACAAAAAATTAGCTGGGCACAGTGGTGTGTGCCTGTAATCCCAGCTACTCAGGAGGCTGAGGCAGGAGAATTGCCTGAACCCAGGAGGTGGAGGTTGCGGTGAGCCGAGATTGCGCCATTGCACTCCAGCCTGGGTAACAAGAGCAAAACTCCATCTAAAAAAAAAAAAAAAAAAAAAACTTCCCCTGAAATTCAGAACCACAAGTCAGTCTTTCATCTGGAATTCTTTTTTGTTGCTGTTGCTGAGACGGAGTCTTGCTCTGTCGCCAGGTTAGAGTGCAGCAGCGCAATCTTGGCTCACTGCGCCTCTGCTCCTGGGTTCAAACAATTCTCCTGCCTTAGCCTCCTGAATAGCTGGGATTACAGGTGTCCACCACCACACCCAGCTAATTTTTGCATTTTTAGTAGAGACGGGGTTTCACCATGTTGGCCAGGATGGTCTCAATCTCCTAACCTTGTGATATGCCCACCACGGCCTCCCAAAGTACTGGGATTACAAGGCATGAGCCACAGCACCTGGCCTCATCTGGAATTCTTTGCTACCTAAGTAATTAGAACAAACAAAAAAACATCATTTTGAGAATTTCAAGGGGACTTTGAGTTGGTAGCACCGATTCAGACCTGATGGAAGCAATCACCTTCTTACCTAGACCTCAAAAATTTTCTACAGTTCCAAACAACACATTTTCAAAATATCACACAAAACACAAGCACCATAAGTAAACAAGGTACCTTAATGAGCAAGAGCCATGAAAATTAAGAGTAAGACCAGCAAAGAGTTCAACAGGGAATTTAATGTGTTTATTAAAAGTAAATTCTGAAAATGAGTAAAGAGCAAAAGACTTATAAACATCCAAGTAGACTTCAAAAAGATCTGAAGTACCAAAATGAAAAACACAAGCATTCCAATTCAAACATCAATGGAACAGAGAAAGCATACAGTGCTTTTCAGCAGAGAGTAATAAAGAGATGAAAATTCATACAGAAAAAGTCTAAAATATATCTGTCCAGGGATGCAGAATTAGAGCATAAACAGAGAGGACGCAATATTTGAATGAAATAACAGCTGAAAATTTTCTAGAGCCAAAGAAAGTTAACCCTGGAATTTGATGCTCAATGAATCCTAAGCAGGATAAATAAAAAATTATAAACTAAGACATATCGTCAAATAAACAATACCATCAATAAACAGAACACTTAACCTTTAAAGTTTCATTTGGCAAGTGGTGACAGAAAGTACTTGTATCTGTTCTTAACAAAAATGCACAAGACAGGTCAAGTGCAGTGGCTCATAACTGTAATCCCAGCACTCTGGAATGCCAGGAGTTTGAGTCTTTGTCTCTACTAAAAATAAAAATAAAAATAAACTAGCTGGGCATGGTGGTGCATGACAATAGTCTCAGTTGCTCGGCGGGCAGAGGCAGGAGGATCATTGAGCCCAGAGGGTCAAGGGTGCAAGGAGCTCTGATTGTAACACTACACTCCAGCCTGGATGACAGAGTAAGACCCTGTCTCAAAAAAAACCACAGGACCTATAGGGAACATGTTAATAAGTTATTAAAACATTTTTAAAAATACCTAAAAATTAGACATATCTCTATTTATGGATAGTTAATCTCAATGGTGAGGAGATGTATCTTCTCCCTAACTTGATTTAGATTTAACACAATTCTAACAAAAGGGAAAAAGCTAATGGGAGGGGGGAGACTTGACCATCTATTCCCAAAATTTACTTGAAAAACAAAAAGCCAAGAATAGACAAAAGATTCCTAAAGTTTTGAGAGTCCTTGTTCTACAAAATGACAAGACTTAGTATCAGATGATGTGGCATTAGTGAACAGGAAAAAATTAGACAAACAGAACAAGAGAGTCCTCAAACAGACCCACAATATATGGAAACGGTGTATTTTAGTATTGGTGGAACAGACAGATTAAAGGTGAAAGTAACTGTATAAAATTTTCAGAGGAAAAAACACAATGCACTACAGTAATTATAGTCTTGAAAGTAATAAAGTAGAAAATATAAAATACTCCTCAATCTACCTGCATTAAAAGATACTATTTTTGAAACAACATAAAGATGAGTGAAGATGACTCACAAAGCAGTAGAAAATATATGTAGCACTAGCAACAAATTACTAGCATCCGGAATACTGAAATGAAATACAAAGCGGCAGGGCACAGTGGGCCATGCCTGTAATGTCAGCACCTTGGGAGGCCAAGGTGGGTGGCTCACCTGAGGTCAGGAGTTTGAGACCAGCCTGGCCAATATGGTGAAACCTGATCTCTACTAAAAATAAAAAAATTAGCTGGGCGTGTTGGCTCGCACCTATAGTCCCAGCTGCTTGGGAGACGGAGGCAGGAGAATTGCTTGAACCTGGGAGGTGGAGGCTGCAGTGAGCTGAGATTGCGCCACTGAACTCCAGGCTAAGCAACAGAGCAAGACTCAGTCTCAAAAAATAGAGAGAGAGAGAGAGAGAGAGAGAGAGAGAAATACAAGGCAGTAAGAAAAAGATCCAGCAAAAAGTAAAAAAATGACTTAAGTGCTGGTGAATAGCCAATAAACATTCAAATATGCTCGGCCTCATTAGGAATCGGGAAAATGCAATTTATTTATTTATTTTGGAGATGCTCTGTCACCCAGGCTGGAGTGTAATGTCGTGATTTCAGCTCAATGTAACCTCTGCCTCCCAGGTTCAGTCGGCTGTCCTGCCTCAGCCTCTCAAGTAGCTGGGATTACAGGTGCCCACCACCATGCTCAGCTAATTTTTGTACTACTAATAGAGACAGGGTTTCTCCATGTTGGTCAGGCTGGTCTCAAACTCCTGACGTCAGGTAATCCACCCGCCTCAGCCTCCCAAAGTGCTGGGATTATAAGTGTGAGCCACCGTGCCCAGCCAGGAAAATGCAAATTAAAAGCCACAAAAAGATATCATTTCCCACAAGACTGGCAAAGATGAAATCTGACAATATCAAGTTTTAAGGATACAAACCAATCTTTTAAAACTGCTATTACTATCTTAAGAGTGTTTCTCAACCTCTTTTTTATCAGACACCAAGGAGTCGTTTTAGACATATTTTCCTCATTTCCACACCCCCCAATTTTAATACCACAGATATACTACATATTATGTTAACATTCTGAATCTTTGGAGGACGACTAACCACTGTAATATGTAGAATGTTTTTCAAGCCATCCTCCCAAGAGCCAATTTTCACTCCCTTGAAGCCCGTTATGACAAAACCGTTTTGGAATACAATTTGGCATTAGATATTCCATTAAGAGGCAACTCCACTAGCGGATATATATTTTAAGTGAATTCTAGTAAACATGTATTTTAAGTGAATTCTACGTTACAGTGTAAGCAGTCAAACCAGATGCAAATTTAAACAAAAGATAAAACATAAAATAACAGCATTTTTGGGCCGGGCGTGGTGGCTCAAGCCTGTAATCCCAGCACTTTGGGAGGCCGAGGCGGGTGGATCACGAGGTCAACAGATCGAGACCATCCTGGTCAACATGGTGAAACCCCGTCTCTACTAAAAATACAAAAAAAATTAGCTGGGCATGGTGGCGAGTGCCTATAATCCCAGCTACTCGGGAGGCTGAGGAAGGAGAATTGCCTGAACCCAGAAGGCGGAGGTTGTGGTGAGCCGAGATTGGGCCACTGCACTCCAGCCTGGGTAACAAGCGAAACTCCGTCTCAAAAAAAAAAAAAAAGCATTTTTTAATCCCTCCCCCCAGACGTATTTTAAGTAGTAAAATACAATGCTTGCCTAAATACCTCAAGCCAAAGACAGATTTACTATGCACTTTTCCTGGAAGAAATGATTTTCATGTCATAAAATCACTGCAATAGCAGAACACTTTACATTTCTTAGAACAAGCAGCAAATCAAGTCACCTAACTTACCTCTGCATTTTCATCTCCCATTTCTTGAGGGGTGTCAGTGTCTGGTTCAATCACACCTTCATTATCAATTTCTGCCAAAGTTGAGAAAATGACAATAAGACCTGCACTGTACAATATAGTAGCCACTCCCCACAAGATTAAAAACTGATGTACTTACTATGTCTAGTGCAATTAATAAATTGAATATTTTAATTAATTTAAATTTCACTGTTGATGCATTTTAAAATGTGTTCCCATTAAACATTTCATTGCTTTGGTAAGACTACACTTTATGTTAACTGTCACATCATGTAAGTTATTTATCAAGTTGTACTGGGATTCTTGCCATGTGCAGTTTCTGGTATTACAAAATATACACATAAATACACCACTAATTTAGTCATTGTCAACAAACTGATTCAAATAATTTTTTCTACACACAGATGTACTATGTGTTTTTCAAAAAATACTTTATGCAGGTAACACAAGCTACAGTGATACTTTAATGTAAGCCATAAAATATTTTAATATAGTTATATTCATTAATCTCCTTTTTAAAAATAATTTTGGAGGGCATAGGATCTTACTATGTTGTCCAAGAAATCCTCCTACCTCAGCCTCCCAAAGCACTAGAATTCCAGGCATGAGCCACTGCACCTGGTCCCTAATTATTTTCATTTTTAAAGGAGCATGAACATATTTTAATTTTAAAATAAAGGTTTACTACTGATGCAGAATCAAGTACCAAGGCTAGTTTTAAAAAAAATTTAGTTTCCATATATACAGCAGTGACCAAGGCTAGTATTTACAACCAAAACAATAAAGACTGAAGAGCAGTATCTTGGAAGTTTCATGTTAAATGACAAGTGTAATTTGTTGCAACAGAGCAAAAGAGTTATATATACATAAATAATAAATATATTTGCAAATAGATAATTAGATGTTTCCTTAGACAAAAAAAAAGAAAGATCAGTCACCTAAAATCAGAATTAGCATACAGCAACAACAAACTTGTGATGCATGACTGACAAATAATACATATATTTAAGGTGTACAATGTGCTGTTGTAACCTACAGGCATACTTCATTTTATTGTGTCTCACTTTACTGCACCTCATATAATGAAATGATTCTCACCATCGTATTAATAACCTATCCATCTCATATATTTATTTATTTTTCGTGAGAACACTGAAGAGCTAGTCTCTTAGCAAATTTCAAGTATACAGTATTAGCTACAGTCATCAGGTTGTACATTAGATCTCTGGAATTTATTAAGAATAAAACTCGCCGGACATGGTGGCTCACGCCTATAATCCCAGCACTTTGGGAGGCCAAGGCAGGTGGATCACGAGGTCAAGAGATCGAGACCATCCTAGTCAACAAGGTGAAACCCCGTCTCTACTAAAAATACAAAAATTAGCTGGGCATGGTGGTGCGTGCCTGTAGTCCCAGCTACTCGGGAGGCTGAGGCAGGAGAATTGCTTGAACCCAGAAGGCGGAGGTTGCGGTGAGCAGAGATCGTGCCATTGCACCCCAGTCTGGGTAACAACAGCAAAACTCCATCTAAAAAAAAAAAAAAAAAAAAAAAAGAATAAAACTCAAAAGTTTATGCCCTTTAACAGAGTACAAAAAAAAATTTTAATCCATTTTTCTCAGGAACTAAGCTTGTCTAACTATCAGTTTGATTTGTACACAAAAAAGAAAACACTTCTGGGTGGAGAGTTGGTTAAAAATATTATTGCAGCCTTAGAAATTGGTAGAAAGACTAAAAAAGGCATTTTATAACAAGTAAAAGATCTTCAATGAAGCACTTGAACAACTGCCAATAGAATATTAGACCTATCTAACAATAGCAAAGATCATTTGATTCAGGCCAGCGGTGGTGGCTCACACCTGTAATTCCAGCACTTTGGGAGGAAGTTTGATCCTAGCCTGGCCAACATGGTAAAACTGTCTCCTGAAAATACAAAAAAATTAGCCAGGCATGGTGGCACATGCCCGCTGTCTCAGCTACTCGGGAAGCTGAGGCAGAAGAATCACTTGAACCCAGGAAGGAGATGTTGCAGTGAGCTGAGATTGCGCCACCACTCTCCAGCCTGGTTGACAGAGCGAGACTTGGTCTTGAAAAAAAAAAAAATCGATTGAAAATTTGAAAAATTTCAAGTACTTTTCTTTAGGTTCTGTGACATAAGAGATTACCCAATTAATAAACTGGGGTATACTCATACCCCAAAAGACTTCCAAATTCATGAAAAAATGCTGTCAATTTGTGGCCAAAAACAAACCAACCAAACTCATAGCACAGATATCAATTCTTCTAAATATCAACTAGTTTTATCAACATGGTTGCTAAGTGCTAAACAAATATTCTTTGGCACTCAATTATTCAGTTACTAGAAAACTTTTGGCCAGGCATGTTGGCTCACATCTGTAATCCCAGCACTTTGGGAGGCCGAGGCAGGTGGATCAACTGAGGTCAGGAGTTCAAGACCAGCCCGAAGAACATGACAAAACCCTGTTTCTACTAAGAAAAAAAATACAGAAATTTGCCAGGCCTGACGGTACACACCTGTAGTCCCAGCTACTAGGAGGCTGAGGCATGAGAACTGATAGAACCTGGGAGGTGGAGGCTGCAGTGAGTTGAGATTATGCCACTGTACTCCAGCCAGGGCGACAGAGCGAGACTCTGTCTCAAAAAAAGAAAAAAAAAAAAAAAACAAAAAAAAAACTTTTCAAGTATGTTTAGAACTTGAATATGTAACCTAACTTTTTCAAATACAAATGTTATAATATCTGAAATATTTTCAATGAAAATGTTAACATCTGAATTGAGGGGTGCTACATGTGTAAAATATCCTCTGGAGTTTGAATGCTTACTATTAAAAAAAGAAAGAAAATAATCTGTTAATATATTAATTACACATGTCAATTTTCAACCAATATAACATTAACGTCTGAATTTATTTCGTATTTCCTTTTACTTTCTAAAACGTGAATACTAGAACATTCTAAGTTTCATATGTGCCATTATATTTCTATTACACAGTGCTGGCTAAAATAAAAGAAAGGATCATATCATAGGTTTTCAAATACAAACCAACTACCATCTCCTCACCTAAATCACTTTCCTCACTTGATGGTTCGTCTGCCTTTAAGTCTTCCTCTACCTTCTTACTATCAGGTTTTTCTTCCTAGCAAAGGGAAGGCAAACAGTATTATCAGTATTTAATAATATAATAATATACCCAATGTATACTAATTTCTCAAAGTCTCTGTATAAGCTGTTCATATGGCCAGGCACAGTGGCTCACACCTGTAATTCCAGCACTTTGGAAGGCCAGGGTAGGTGGATCATTTGAGGTCAGGAGTTCAAACCCAGCCTGACCAACATGGTGAAACCATCTCTACCAAAAATACAAATTAGCTGGGCACGGTGGTGCACACCTGTAATCCCAGCTACTCGGGAGGCTGAAGCAGGAGAATCACTTGAACGTGGGAGGTGGAGGTTGCTGTAAGCTGAGATCATGCCACTGCACTCCAGCCCGGGCAACAGAGCAAGACTTTGTCTCAAAAACAAAAAAACAACAACAAAAAAAAACCTGTTTAAATAGTTTGAACATTAACAATAAACAGTTTAGATTATAAATAGCCTCATGTCAACTCACATTATGTTTTATTGTCTAATTTAGTGAAAATCTTTACGGGGTTTTTGAGTTTTGGAACTGCAAATAAGAACCTGTGGAACTATAATAATAAACAATGAAAATTCTAAGAATGTAAAAGTGCACATATTACAGAAAGCAAAATTTTCTTCCCATCCTATAAGTAACCAGCGTGGTTTCTTGTATATTCCATTCTAGAATAATCTTTCTCTACATGAGACAACTTTATAGTTTGTCTTTCGCATTTAACAATGTTGTGTATCTTGCAAATTATATACCATTATCAGTGAACCTTCATCTATTCACTCAACTGTATATCATTAAAGATTTTAGGTTGCTTCCGTATTACTTAATAAATCAGAACTAAAGACCTACCTTATCACAAAATATTTGAGTCCCTATAAAATGTGCAAAGTCTAGGTATTCTAGAATATATTGAAAAGAGCAGTAATAATTCTAACTTAGAATGTTTTTATAGGTTAAGTATAACTTTGCCTTCATACACATTTGCCAAATGGCAAAATATCCTATCTAGGGCTCAGAAAATACCACTCTGATAAATGACCCTTCTAAAAAAAGGTAACTACTTTTGGGCTTTTGCTTAATTTTCTCATTTTCCTTCTTAATAAGCATAACCTCTACTTTAAGATCCAAATAGATAAACAATGTTTAAAGTTCTAAATAATAAAACAGCTAATTTTCTTATCAATTTAAAACAGCTAATCAGAGAATTTGCCAAAAAACCGATATGAAGGCAGAAGAGAGAAATAAAAAGCATTCTTGGCTGGGCAGTGACTCATGCCTGTAATCCCAGCATTTTGGAGGCTGATGTGGATCACTTGAGATTAGGAGTTTGAGACCAGCCTGACCAACATGGCGAGACCCCATCTCTACTTAAAAGAGAAAAATCAGCCAGGCATGATGGCATGTACCTGTAATCCAAGCTACTCGAGAGGCTGAGACAGGAGAATCACTTGAACCCAGTAGGTGGAGGTTGCAGTGAGCTGAGATTGTACCACTGCACTATTACCTGGGTGACAGTGGCAGAGAACTTGTCTCAAACAAATAAACAAACAAAAAACAAAACATTCTTAAAAGTGTATTTTCCCCTTCATTTCTCTCTCAACTTCAGCTACTGGTAACCTTCTCCTAATCTTACACATCCTTTCAGCAAATATGCTAACACAACACGATTCACACTCAGAAATATCACTCAGGTAGCAGAGCAAAAAAACTACATTATTGACCTGGGATACTTTTTCATTTACTCTGCAAATAATAAAGTACCTACATTGCATATGACACACTGTAAGACAACAATGAAAACTATAGATGTATACCATCACTGAGCTTACCACTTACAGGCCACACATACAATTTTTATTGTCACGTATTCTAAAACACAGTGAACATTCAACCCTAAATTTTCAGTTCTAAATCAAATTCCAGAGAATTCAGTCTACAAAGTTTATAAAGACAAAGAGATCTTATAAGATCTTATTTCCAAGTGATCTTGGGTAATCAGGAGTGATAACTGGAGAGCAACAGTTTAAAAACCCCTAAGAAACCTTAAAGTGCTTCATCACAAAACATACAAATGAAATTAAAACTTACCTTGGTATTTTCTTCTGATTTAGCTTTCTGAGTAGCAGGTGGTATTTTACCCCCCATACTTGAAGAAAATGAGAAAAAAGGTATTTGTTTAGAAAATTAAAATTCACTATTAAGCAACATATTTATACCTAAAAAATGTTAGACATTTACGTGACACCTTCTCAAAGTTTACAAGTAAACTCTCAATTAATTTGAATGCTGTGGTATTATGATGATTGTTTTTTCCAGCTTAAAATTTTATTTATTTTGGCTTGGCACAGTGGCTCACACCTGTAATCCCAGCACTTTGGGAGGCCGAGGTGGGTGGATCACAAGGTTAAGAGTTCAAGACCAGCCTGACCAACATGGTCAAACCCTGTTTCTACCAAATACACAAAAATTAGCTGGGTGTGAGGGCACACACCTGTAATCCCAGCTACTTGGGAGGCCGAGGCAAAAGAATCACCTGAACCCAGAGGTGGAGGTTGCATTAAGCCAAGATCACGCCACTGAACTCTAGCCTAGGCAACAGAGCAAGATGCCATCTCTACTAAAAATACAAAAATTAGCTGGGTGTGGTGGGGCGCACCTGTAGTCCCAGCTACTTGGGAGGCTGAGAAAGGAGACTGGCTTGAACCCAAGAGGCGGAGCTTACTGTTAGCCAAGATCATGCCACTGCACTCTAGCCTGGCAACAGAGCAAGACTCTGTCTCAAAAAAAAAGAAAACAAAGAGTTGATTCTTTATAACTAGAGTTGTCATATCCACATTTACATTCATTTCAATTGGTTAGAATTCATGATCATAAGGGTATGTGTAGGTTGAATTTAAATGGCTATTAGTTTTCCGAAGTTCTTTTAACAATTTACATTTTTATCAGCAATGTATGAGAATTCCAATTATTCCACACCTTGGCCAACATTTAGCTATCATCCATCCTAAAGACTTTTTAGCCATCCTGAAAGGTGTCTATTGGCATCTTATTGCAGTTGAGTCCCTTTTCATATATTTATTGGTCATCTGAAAAGACTTTTTCGTGAAGTTCAACTCTCATGAAGCTTTCTAATAAATTGTCTTTATTTATTTGAAGGTGGTGTTTGTATATTTGGCATATGAACCCCTTGTCAGCTTTATATGTTGCTAATATTTTCTGCTACCCTGTGGCTTGCCTTTTCTCTCTCCTAGAAGTATCATCTGAGGATCCCAATATGAAGCAAAAGTATAAATGCAAAGTAGCAAATGGAATGAAAAAGAAACAGGATTTGGAATTTCTTATAAATACCAATCAAACAAGAAGAATGTGCATACTTTTTCCATTATGTTTAATATGATAGAAATAAATCTGTTACTCAGTATCCTTAATAAGGAATAGCTCCCATGTCAAAAATAAATAAGATTATATGATCCAAAAGATCCTAATTTGCAATTCAGCAAAGTAAAACGATTTAAAATGTTAAGGAATAGGCATACCGACACCACAAAATTCAATAGAAAAACTACTCTGCGAAAGAGCAAGGTAATCACCAGTCCTTTGTAGTTAAATTTTAATTAAGACACAGGGTTTCTTATACTGTGTTCTTTCTAAGTTTCAAAATGCAGTATCAGGAATGTATTTAGGGTGATATCCAGACATAGTATGGCTTACAGTACACTAACTTTGGGAAGTGATATTCCTGCCAAGAAATGAGACAAAGCCAAATTGAGAGAAAGTCTATGAAGTCTAACTTGCCTATAATATTCAAACTGTCAAGATTATCAAAGTCAAGGACAGATGAAGAACTGTTTCAGAATGGAGACTAAAAGACATGACAACTAAATGCAACACATAAATCTGAGGATAACATGAATGCATCAATATTAGTTTCCTGAGTTTAATACTTGTAAAGACTTTTTGTTTGTAGGAAATACACACTCAGTGGTGTCAGGGCATAATGGTGGCAGCTTACTCTCAACTAGTTCAGAAAAAAGTTTCTTTGTACCATATCTACAATTTTTCTCTGAGCTAGAAATAGCTGCAAAAAACTAAAAACAAAAAACAAAACAAAATTTACTCAAACTAGATTTAGTTTCTCATATCCCAAATTCTAGTTACTTAATGTAAGAAAATACCAACTCAAAGGTACAGAAATTTCAATTAATGCTTCCAAGACTTAGAACAAGCTGCTTTCTGGCCAAAAACTGCCAACTGGACTTTGGTACTACAGGTTTTTATATTACACAGTCAAGTAGGGTAAGCGTAGAGACCTTGTCACATAGGATCACACAAAACTTCATTCATAACTCTCTTAATTTGATAACCTTCTTATCTGCTTTGTGCTATGGTTATTTATGCACATGTACAAAAAATTGATTGCTACACTCTAAATTCTATATTGAGGGTAGAAATGCAATCTGTTCATTTACAATATTTAGAAAAAGCCATGTGCCACACACTGTGCTAGGGAAAATATAAAGACACCCTCTTTGATCTTAATTACCATCAAATAAAGCCATAAAAGCACATACAAGATACTAAATTGTTAAAACGGGAGAAAATTGTGTGGGATAATGCTTCTGTCTCTAAAAAGGAGAAAACAAAAATATCTCAAAACGCAGTTGTTGAAAAGAACAGTCTCCCTGGATCCTCACTGACAACTAGTTCAGAAAGACTGTTCTTAGTATTTGTGCAATTTAAAAGGTTGTTAAACTAATAAATACTTACATTAAAATAAAACTAAGCTATAAACAATGCTAGCAATACAGCAAGTAGGCAAATGTACAGTTCTTCAACAGCTAAGCCTGTGAGAAACTGAAATGTTCTCAACTTGAGTAACCCTAATAGTAGGATCAGGCCTAGAAATACAATACGTCTGGACCTGGAAGTCTCCACATTCAGCCCAATCTGCCATAATCTCAAACTGCAGATGAAGGCAAAGAGAGAAACACAAACTCAAAGCCCTCAGAGTTTATAAAAATCTTAAATACAGAAACAAAGAGAAAAACCTAGGCTGGCACAGTGGCTTACGCCTGTGATCACAGCACTTTGGGAGGCCAAAGTGGACAGATCACAAGGTCAAGAGTTCGAGACCAGCCTGACCAAAACGGTGAAACTACATCTCTAGTAAAGATACAAAAATTAGCTGGGCATGGTGGCACGTGCCTGTAATCCCAGCAACTTGGGAGGCTGAGGCAGGAGAACTGCTTGAACACAGGAGGCGGAGGCTGCAGTGACCCAAGATCTTGCCACTGCACTCCAGCCTAGAGATAGAGCAAAATTCCATCTCAAAAAAAAAGAGAAAATGAGCTTCTACATTAAATATCTCAACTTAAGTTCGGAATAAAGTCCCTACATATGCCACCCCACACTTCACCCCACACTTTTTTTTTTTTTTTTAATTCAGAGTTTTGCTCTTGTTCCTCAGGCTGGAGTACAATGACCCGATCTCAGCTCACCACAACCTCCGCCTCTCGGGTTCAAGCAATTTTTCCTGCCTCAGCCTCCCAAATAGCTGGGATTACAGGCATGCGCCACCATGCCCAGCTAATTGTACATTTTTAGTAGAGAAGGGGTTTCTCCATGTTAGTCAGGCTGGTCTCGAATTCTGGACCTCAGGAGAGCCACTCACTTCAGCCTCCCAAAGTGCTGGGATTACAGACCTGAGCCACTGTGCCTGGCCCACTTCACCCCATACTTTTTTTTTTTGAGACAGAGTTTCGCTCTTGTTACCCAGGCTGGAGTGCAATGGTGCGATCTTGGCTCACCGCAACCTCCGCCTCCTGGGTTCAGGCAATTCTCCTGCCTCAGCCTCCTGAGCAGCTGGGATTACAGGCATGCGCCACCGTGCCCAGCTAATTTTTTTGTATTTTTAGTAGAGAAGGGGTTTCACCATGTTGGCCAGGATGGTCTCTTATCTCCTGACCCCATCTGCCAGCCTCGGCCTCTCAAAGTGCTGGGATTACAGGCGTGAGCCACCGCACCCAGCCAGGCATGTTTTAATTTTTTCTTCTGTCTCTCCTCTTCCTCCTCTTCCTAAAGTGGAGCCAGCTATTTCTTCCTATGATATTTATCTACTTTACCTGGAATTTTAGGTACAATTTATTAACTGCAGGTTCTTTCCTATAATAAGGATAAAAGCATACAAATATCTTAAGAAAGGCTTTTGGATCATCAAGTTGCTCAATAGAGAAAACGACTAAAATCTCACCCTCAATTCCTAATCCTGACATTTCCCGGTTGAGGGTCTGCAAAATAGGCTTCTTAGAAATAGTCATAAGGTTTATTATTAACATAATACTATTAAATGGTCTCAAAATTTCACATTTAAGTAAAAATCTTATGGTAGTTACATAATTGGTAGGGAAATAAAGACTGAAAAGCTTCTTAGAGGAAAAAAATACAATATACAACGTTGACAGATTTTTAACAAGTTTTTTCCTTAGAATCAGCTTGTTGTTTAGAAATATTCTTTGAGCTGTTTGGTAATTATGAGTTCATCTTCCTATATAAAAATATCAGGCCTAGTGAGGTGTGGCTCACACCTGTAACACTACCACTTTGAGAGGCGGGAGAGTCCCCTGGGGCCAAGAGTTCAGGACAAGCCTGGGTAACTTAACAGTCCTGGGTAACTTATCGTGACCCCCATATATACAAAAAATAAAATTAGCCCAGTATGGTGGCTCAATCCCGTACTGCTTGCCACCTGGGAGGCTGAAGCAGGAGGATTGCTTCCAGGAATCTGAGGCTGCCACTGCATGGACGATACAGCCAAATCCTGTCTCTCAAAAACAAAAATCACTAAATCGATAACGTTCATAGTAGCACCTCTTAGGAGTAGCAATGGTCTGCATAGTTGCTATTTATCCCTGTCAAGCTCAATTTGTCATCTTTTCAGTTTCCCATTAGTAATAATTTTTAAAAGTCATCTTAGGAAAGACTTCCCTCACTTTTTTCTCTTCAGTGCTCCTTCAATACGTAAAATGCTAATTTTACTATATAGTAAATATCAAAACGAACTTTTTTATTTATTCGTCTGTATCCTAAATAGAAAGTACTTATACTGTTTCCTAGCACCCGGCAAGATGCCTAGTCAATTAATTCCTTGCACGTAGCGAAGTTCTCTAGAGTTAAAGACAAGAATATATCCTGGAAACATGCCAGGCCTTGAAAAAAATCATCTTTCTCAAAAGTGTTTGGAGTGATACCACTGCCAAGTAATGGGGGTATAAGAAGTGATTCTCAAGACAATCCTACGCAGTCTGAAGCGCTGTAAGGCAGAGACAATCATTTTTACAGTTATCATTTTTATTCTTACTAATTAATTTTATAACGTAACTTACTGGATAGTATTACATTATTATAACACGATTTAAAGGGATAGTGCGTAAAGGAACTACTATGTATCAGTGAGACCTGAGCAGGGCACACGAGACTAAAAAGAAAAACCACCCCAGGAAAAAGCTAAGTCTTGCAGTTCTCACTCCTCCCATCTCCAGTGTCCACGGATCCGCAGTCCTCTGCTTTTGTATTTAGCCCAAGATGCAACCCTGGCAACCTCAGCGTGCGAGGAATCCAGCTCTGCCTCCTGCTCCCCGCGGCTCCTGTAACACCCAGGGCTCGCGAACCTCTACGGCCCCTCGAAGTTGCCTCCCTTCCCAGCGCAAAAAGCGAGCCACGAAGGGGCGGCGACCCCGCCTCACCTGCCTGCCTGCACCAGCTCTGGCCCAGCTCTCCCTGGGGCCGTGTTACCCCCCACAAGGGTCCTGAGGCCCGGGTCTCACCTCTCCACCCACTCCCTCAGGAAGCGCATTTCCTCGGTATGCAGAACGCTTGGATCCTGCTTACACATCTTCACAAAGGCCCGAAGCTCGTTCACTTTGCGGGGGTCCATGGTCGGGAAGCGGTGGGCGAAGCTGAGGGTCTGCGGCCCGCTTCCAGGCCGAGGCGCTGGCTCGGCGTGACCGCGCAGAGGGGAGCGTCCGCCGCGAGGCAGAACAGACTAGAACCTCCCCGACCGCTGGCTCCTCCCACCCAACGATCTCGTGACCCCGGGTCCTCCGCTTGCCCCTTCCTACTCGCTCTGCGCTGCTCCTGCGCGCTCCCTAGAACATTCTAGAAGCGTGGCTGTTCGTGCTGTTGCCTGCCTCTCTGCGTACACATTCTCATATTCTTAACTAGGAACCAGCTCCCTGGAGGTGGCAACCCTCAGCATGGGCACCTTCAAAGAGGCGAGAGATAGCAGCCTTTCCAGGAACCGACGTCCAAGAGCACATTCGGTTGTTGACGGCACCGAGTAGAGTTTAACCCCCGACCTAAATAGGGGCGTGGGGCCGGAGGGGCGGTCCCAGCCCGGGGAATGACGTCACATTCTGCGCCGCCGCTCAAGGAAGGCCCTCGTGTGGCGCCCGCCGGAAGGGGAGGGGCGGCTCGCCCGGTTTCCTGGCGACGCGGCGCAGCAGGCGGCACCTTTCCCGGCTGTTAACCTCTCGTCTTCCCGGTGCGCGAGCTTGGCTGTCATGCCTTGGCTGCTCTCAGCCCCCAAGCTGGTTCCCGCTATAGCAAACGCCCGCGGCCTCTCAGGTTAGACTCTCCTCCAGGTCTTGTCCCATGGTGTCCCTTGGAGGGACCCAAGTTGGTCTCAAGGCGATCCCTGGTTCGGCCGGTCCTTCTCCTAGTGGGTACTCCGCTCCCCAACCCTTCTGTACCCTCTGCGGATTTTTTTCTATACCGGCTGCGCCTGGAAAGGGGTGGGCCCAGTATGTTCTCTACCGTTGAGGTATTCTGTGAAGCCGAAGTGACTACAGAGAAAAAAGTGTGTGCCATTCCCCAGAGAGGCTGTCTTCCAAGTTACTCGGACTCCGAAGTCGTGACAGCTAACACACTTAAGTGACATAGTGTCTCACATCAAGTAGCTCTTGTTTCTCTTAGGTCAACTTAAAATCCTCTTGTGTTTTCAAATATGAGAGCTTGCTCCAGAATAAACAAGAAGCATGTTTAGTAACAAATTCTTTAAGCGGCTCCGTTAGAAAAGGTACTGTTTGGAAATACTGGGCTTGAAAGTCCTCTTTGTAAAGACAAGACGAAGGAATAAAGTGAATAACTTTTGTAGGCGGTCCTATTGCGAGCAATTAATCTGATGAACATAAAGCTTAAATCGGTGAAAACTATCACTTACCTTGCAGGCGGATCTGCCATTGGATCGTATTTCAGTTTTTTGGGGCAATATATGAACAGTGTGTGAACCAGAACGCGTGATATTTAGCATCAGAGCTGTTTTGGCATATGTTTATGTTAAAATACTTGAATTCATTTAAGATGGAATGTTAATTATATCGACTTTTTACTATAAAAAAATAAAATGTTATTGTCCAGTTCACGGAACTTCTTCAGTTCTAATAGTAAAGCTGCAGAAAGATGTAACTCTTCATGGAATTAGGAGAATTTTTTTATTTTTTTGAGACAAGTTCTCATTCTGTCACTCAGACTGGAGTGTAGCGGCAATCTCTGGTCATTTGCAGCCTCTGCCTCCTGGGTTCAAGCAATTCTGATGCCTCAGCTTCCCGAGATAGCTGTGATTATAGGCATGTGCCACCACATCTGGCTAATTTTTGTAATTGTAGTAGAGACCTGGTTTCACCATGTGGGCCGGGCTGATCTTGAACTCCTTCCTGGCCTCAAGCAATCCGCACTCTCTGGTGAGCCACCGCCTGGAATTTGCTTTTATGTGCAAGGCCCTCACAAACCCTTGAACTCCTTGTCTCAAGCGATCCACCCTGCTTGGTGAGCCACCGCACTGGTATATGCTTTTATTTACGCGGTGGTTCACGCCTATAATCCCAGCACTTTGGGAGGCTGAGGCGGGTGGATCACGAGGTCAAGAGATCGAGACCATCCTGGTCAACATGGTGAAACCCCGTCTCTACTAAAAATACAAAAATTAGCTGGGCGTAATGGTGTGCGCCTGTAGTCCCAGCTACTCGGGAGGCTGAGGCAGGAGAATTACTTGAACCCAGAAGGCGAAGGTTGCGGTGAGCCGAGATTGTGCCATTGCACTCCAGTCTGGATAACAATAGCAAAACTCCGTCTCAAAAAAAAAAAAGAAAGGTTCACACCAACCCGACTAAAGGAGCCATACTACCAGAAGGAATACTTGCAAAGGCACAGAGCTCTGAAACGGAATGGCCAGTACTAAGCATTGCAATCATTTAGTATGGCCAGAGAAGCTTTTATTATTATTATTATTATTATTATTATTATTATTTTGGAAAGAGAGTCTCACTCTTGTTGCCCAGGCAGGAGTGCAACAGCGCGATCGTGGCTCACTGCAGCTTCCGCCTCCCGAGTTCGAGGGATTCGCCTCACTCAGCCTCCCAAGTAGCTGGGATTACAGGTGCCCACCACCATGCCCGGATAATATTTGTATTTTTAGTACGCCCGGCTAATACTTGTATTTTTAGTAGAGACGGAGTTTCACCATGTTGACCACTGGTCTTAAACTCCTGACCTCAGGTGATCCGCCGGCTTCCGCCTCCCAAAGTGCTGGGATTACAGGCGTGAGCCGCTGCACCTGGCCTAGGAGAAGCTTTTTTGAAATATGTTCTCAAACAAAATAGTAGGCGTTACACCAAGATGATTCTGTGATCTAATACGTTTGGGGAATGCTGCATCGCTGCATTTCATAATGTACATGATAGTCTAATTTTTTTTTTTTTTTTTGAGGTGGGGTCCCGCCATGTTGCCCAGGGTAAACTTGAACTGGTAGGATCAAGTGATCCTCCCAACTCAGCTTCTCAAAGTGTTGGGATTGTAAGTGTGAGCCGCTGCACCCAGCCCATAATAGTCTTAAGTTTCTGAGATTGAGATGTGTTCAACAGTAATTTGCAAAGTGTGTAAAAATGTGTTTAACCATGGACCCTTTTTCTGTGATGAGTCTTGAACTGGTATCCCTGGAACATGTTTTGGAAAAAGTTGGGCTAGAGCGTAAGATGGGTACAAGGAGCTGATAGGAAATCAAGTTGGGGAAAAAGCTAGCAGCTGGCTAGTGGAGGGCCTTGTATATTAAGAAACAATTAGCTTTTTCCTTTAGATGGTAGGAAACCTTTGAGGAATATGAAGCTATTGAGTAAAATGTTTAAATTTTGGCTTTTCTGTTAAGAATGAAGAAATGAACTGCAGGGCATGTCATTACACTCTTAAATTTTCTGACACTAATTTTTGCTTTTGTTTTTGGAAAATTGCAAATTTTTTAACTTTACTACCACATATATGATAACAGATTAACTCTATTAATTATCACATCTTATATAAAAAGCATTTAAAATATCCTGGGCTTTTATTATTTTATGAAAATAAACTTTAAATACTAATTGTCCCCAGTCTCTTCTGTAGAATAAATGACCTTTCCTTCTCCTGTCTGATCTGCCCACTGAAAATCCAACACCGATACAAAATATAAGTTCTTAACTATGGCTGTCATTTAAAAATAACAGAAATTATAATTTTTTTTCCCAATTTTGTGTTTGTATTTGGCCAAAGGTGATTGAGTTTTAGTGTTGCTAGCCATGTAACTGAAGCCATTTGATCAATATCTGATATATTTGTAACCCATCTGTTTTTCTCCCAACGTGACTAAGTTAATATAGCTATAGGTGATATTTTAGAGTAGTGTATTTGTAGATTCTGCATACAAACTCTGAACAAAAATAGGAAGTTTCCTATCTGGAGTCATTCACTGATGGCCTACCTATAGACTACTCTGACAAATTCAGTGTAAGAATGGCTTTTTTTTAAAAAAATGTGAGCTGGGTATGGTGGCTCACACCTGTAATCCCAGCCTTTTGGGAGGTGATCACCTGAGGTCCGGAGTTTGAGACCAGCCTGACCAACATGGAGAAACCCTGTCTTTACTAAAAACACAAAATTAGCCAGGTGTAGTGGTGCATGCCTGTAGTCCCAGCTACTCGGGAGGCTGAGGCAGGAGAATTGCTTGAACCTGGGAGGCAGAGGTTGCAGTGAGCCAAGATCACACCATTGCACTCCAGCCTGGACAACAAGAGCGAAACTCCATCTCAAAAAAAAAAAAAAGTGGGCCGGGCGTGGTGGCTCAAGCCTGTAATCCCAGCACTTTGGGAGGCCGAGACGGGTGGATCACGAGGTCAAGAGATCGAGACCATCCTGGTCAACATGGTGAAACCCCGTCTCTACTAAAAATACAAAAAATTAGTTGGACATGGTGGCGCATGCCTGTAATCCCAGTTACTCAGAAGGCTGAGGCAGGAGAATTGCCTGAATCCAGGAGGCGGAGGTTGCGGTGAGCCGAGATCGCACCATTGCACTCCAGCCTGGGTAACAAGAGCGAAATTCTGTCTCAAAAAAAAAAAGGTAAACTATACTACGTAAAATTTACCATCTTGTCCATTTTTTAAGATTTTTAATTTTTTATTGTTCTTTAGAGACAGCGTCACATTCTTGTCAGCTGGAGTGTAATGGCAAGATCATAGCTCCCTGTAACCTCAAACTCCTGGCCTCAAGCAGTCCTCCCACCTCACCCTCCTGAGTAGCTAGGACTATAGGCATGTACCACCACACCCAGCTAAATTTTTTAAAAAAATTTTCATAGGGGCCAGGTCTTATGTTACCAGACTATCATGGAATTCTGGCCTCAAGCAACCCTCCTGCCTGGGCCTCCCAAGGTACTAGGATTACAGGTGTGAGTCCCTGTACCCAGCCAAGTCTGTATATTTTTAAATTAAAATACTTTATAGTTTACTTTTTAATTTGTAAATTAAATTTAATTGTAAATTGTAAATTAAATTGTAAATTTAATTTAATTGTAACCTTTAAGTTATAATGCATCAAATCCTGTACCTCCATTGGGAGAAAAACCATTTCATGAATAATTGTATAGTCTGAACCTGTGTCTGTTAATACATGGTTGTCTCTTAATGCTATGCATATTTCAAAAATTTGTATAGCAGTTTTAATTCGAGAAAAGAAATAAAATAGGCTATAAACTCTACTAAAGTAAAAAACTCTTTGCAGTTTTCCAAATTCCTTTTTTTTTTTAGACAGCATCTTCCTCTGTCACCCAGGCTAGAGTGCAGTGGCATGATCTCAGTACACTGCAATCTCTGACCTCTGTCTTCCAGGCTCAAGCAGTCCTTCTACCAGCTTCCCGAGTAACTGGGACTACAGGTGTGCACCACCACACTTGGCTAATTTTTAAATTTTTGTAGAGACAAGCTCTCACAAGCAGGCATGGTGGCTCATGCTGCACTTTGGGAGGCCGAGGCTGGCAAATCACAAGGTCAGGAGTTTGAGACCAGCCTGGCCAATATGGTGAAACCCCATCTTTACTAAAAATACAAAAATTAGCCGGGCATGGTGGCAGCTGCCTGTAGTCTCAGGTATTTGGAAGGCTGAGGCAGGAGAATCGCTTGAACCCAGAAGGCAGAGGTTGCAGTGAGCCGAGACTGCGCCACTGCACTCCAGCCTGGGAGACAGTGAGATTCCACCTCAAAAATAAATAATAAAAGACCTCACTATATTGCCCAGGCAAATTCTTAATAGCACGAACTCTCACCACAAACTCATCCTTTCTGTCATACCCAATCCAAAATACTGCTAACCAAATGTCCACAATTCTGCTAAAAGTATTGAAAAGCTCTTAGTATAGTATTAAACAAGTGTTACCTACAAATTTGTGATTAACCAGAACACACACAAGAGTTGCGTTCAAATGTTATATGTTTGAAGAGTCAATTTAACAATTCCTTTTGGTAGACTTCTTTTTTTTTTTTTTTTTTTTTTTTTGAGATGGAGTTTCGCTGTTGTTACCCAGACTGGAGTGCAATGGCACTATCTCGGCTCACTTCAACCTCTGCCTTCTGGGTTCAAGCAATTCTCTTGCCTCAGGCTCCCGGGTAGCCGAGATTACAGGCGCGCACCACCATGCCCAGCTAATTTTTGTATTTTTAGTAGAGACTTGTTGACCAGGATGGTCTCGATCTCTTGACCTCGTGATCCACCCGCCTCGGCCTCCCAAAGTGCTGGGATTATAGGCGTGAGCCACTGCGCCCGGCTGGTAGACTTCTTCTTTTGCATGTCTTTATATGTCTTTTTTTCCCTCTTACCACCCTCTTTGACTCCTGCTGAGAAAATAGGGGGATCCCAGTTGCTGGTAACCCAAGATATGCCTTGCTCGTCATTGTCCACAAAGTATATTGAGATACGTGTTTGGAGCTGTGGGAATTTGGTGAACAGTTGTTGAATGACTGTATTCTCCAGTTGAATTCTTCTGCAAAGCCCTCTTAATTGGCTACACCATTTACAAGAAAAAATGTCAACTCTCCATTATCTTCAGCTTCTCCTTCTTGATTACTTTCAATAATTTTCTTTGTATTAATATTTCTGCCATTAACAATTTTGTCTGTAGTTGTAACAGATATGTAGTTGTTCATCCCACTATCATCAAAAGCCAGGGAAGAGAAAGAAGTAAGGCCTTCATGCCCCAGTGAACCGTATGATGTATGTCCTGTATCATATGAAGAAAATTTCTCAAAAATTGGATATTCACTGGAGGTAGAGAAAAAGGATCCCACATCTCTGTTTCTGTTTCCATAGGAGCTTCTTGGACAATTTAACAGGTCCTCAAGTGAGTCTTCAAAGAAGTGAGAAGAAAATGGATCCCTTTCATGAAAAATTTCTTTAGAAACATCAGCTGGCTTATGGAGTGTGAAGCCATACTCACATTCATTATCAAAATGACTTCCACCTCCATTTAATCCTTCTTTGCCATATTTATTATAAATGTCCCGTTTTTCATCATTTGATAATACCTCGTGTGCATCAGCTACTTCTTTGAATTTTCTCTCTGCTTCTTTATTTCCTGGATTTTTATCAGGGTGCCATTTAAGTGCCACTTTGTGGTAACCTTTTTTAATGTCCTCAGGTGAGGCATATCTCTGTACTCCTAGAACTTCATAGTAATCCACCATGTTTTACCAGATAATTGGAAGCGGATGTGCTGGATAGTCAGAACTGTGCTTTCCTCAGCTCAGGCTCTGCTGGTGGTGGTAATAGAGGTAGTGACTGCAAATAGGCACATTTTTTTTTTTTTGCACATTTTTATATTAAAGACAATGTTATTACCATGTCCTAATGAGATGAGGATACTGATTACATGGCAAGCAGAGTTACAAATATGTCAGAGAGGGCTGCATTATGATGTCATTTTGGGGTCAGTGTAGGGACTGGACTTAGTCCAGAGTCACACCACACTATCCTGAATCCTCTGGACTATTTCCCCTATATATTTCTCTCGAAGCTTCAGGCAATGGCTCATAAGCCAATGGAAACTGTTGCTAATGGCCGCAGCATATCCCTTGCATAGTATGACCTCTAGATTACAGGGCCTTAGTTAGTTCCCAGTTCTGCCATGCTTTGGTTTCAAAAAATGCAGTAGTGACTTATGTGTGAAAAAAGTACTCAAGCAGTTGATGTATTTATTTCAGTAATGAGACAATTCAGTGGTAGATACAAACAAGTAACTTAGCTATAGTAAGAGTTATGAGAGGAAGTACTGGATGCTAGACAATCATATGAAAGACGCTCAGGCTGGGGGTGGCAATGAAAGCTTCCTGGAGGAGGTAGCTTAATATATTAATTTTCTGCATGCCAGTGGTAAGTCATTTAAGATTATAGTATCTTTGTCCACCTAAAGTTTACTACTGTAAAACATGTAGTTAAAGATTTGGAAAGCAGTGTGTCTATGTATGCACTGTATAATTATTGAATGCCTGCTTTGTGCCAGGCACAGTTTTAGCCACTGGTCATAGCAGTATTGAACAAAATACACCAGTTTTCCTGGTGCTTGCATTATAATAGAATACAAATAAGAGAACAAATAAAACAATTTGAGATATTGTGTTATGTGCTCCAAAAATAATAAAGAGCAGTGTGCTGGGGGCAGAGTGCTACTTTAGATTGATTTTAGAAGGCTTCTGAGGAGATGACATTATTGCTGAGACCTATATGACAGTCAGGCACATAATGATCTAATATGGTAGCCACTAGCCATGTTGACAGACATTTTGGTTATTGCCAGGTAGGGCTGTTGCACATAAAGCTAGCACTTATTTCAAGTACAGTGGGAAGCCTTTGTGAGGAGTGGAGGATATGCAGGTTTAGTGATCTGATTGACATTTTTAATGGATCAGTGACTGTTATTTGGAAATTCAGTCATGTATGGGAAAGTAGAATTCAGGAACCCAGAAACAGACCAAAGATGATTTTCTCTGGGGGTGAATTACCAGTAGTTATTGTCTCAAAAAATTTCCTATAATGATCTGCCTCTGTTTTTCCTCTTCTGTGTTGTATTTGTTTTATTTCCATCACATTTATAAGCCCTCGGTTAAATGATACTCTAATGAAATCTAAAACTGAAATGTATATTTCTAGTCTTTCAAGACCATTTGTCAGGTCTGAATATTTTTTGCTTTGCATTAATTTTTTTATAAACTCGTTTTTGAGAGAGATTGGGAAATGCTTAAAACTATTCTCTCCAATATATGTGCTTACATGTGTTATGTGTGGCATACCCATGATTATAATTTGCCTGCTACTGGAAATAATAACTAATAATATTGAACATTATTTTGAGTACCCTCTGAGTCACACTGTAACAGGTGTTCATTTAACTGACAGAGCATTCTAGCAAGATAAATATTTTGTGCCCATAAGGAAACACGTTCTGAGACATAAAGTGATTTGTCTAAGGCTACATAGCTTGTTAGTGAAAAATCTGATTTTTAAACTTGTGTCTGATTCCAAGTTATCCTCATTCCTCTCTACTGCATTTTAGACCAAGGACTTAAAGAGTTTTTAGGTTCTAGGCATTCTACCAGCAGATGCTGAGAACCTACTGTTATCAGAAAGGGGTCCCCCAAGAGAGGGTTCTTGGATCTTGTGCAGGAAAGAATTTGAGTGGAATCCATACAGTAAAGTGAAAGCAAGTTTTAAGAAAGTAAAGGAATAAAGAATGGCTACTCCATAGGCAAAGCAGCCCCAAGGGCTGCTGGTTGCCCATTTTCAAGGTTATTTCTTGATTATATCCTCAACAAGAAGTGGATTATTCATGCTGCGCATTTTAGACCTTATAGGATAACTTCCTGACATTGCCATGGTATCTGTAATGTTAGGGCACTGGTGGGAGTGTAGCAGTAAGGACAACCAGAGGTTACTGTTGTTGCCATCTTAGTTTTGGTGGTTTCGGCCAGCTTCTTTACTACATCCTATTAGCAAATTTTTATGACCTGTATTTTGTTTCAATCTCCTATTTCACTCTGTGATTAAGACTACCTTAACTTACTGGGAATGTAGGCCAGCCAGTCTTGGCCTTATGTTACCAAACCCCTACCGAGGATAGAGTTGCTCTGGTTCAAACACCTTTGACGCTATAATACAGAGAGAAGCTAGAAAATAGGACATTCTCCTCTTAAGAAATTAATATAGTTTGAGAAAACTAATTTCAGTGGAGTGTAAAGTTTTAACTTAAGCACTTGTTTCTGAGTTATCCCCACTCTGACGATCCCTTGCCTCCGTTCCATCTGCTGTGCCATTTTCTTTGCCTTTTTACAGCAAAACTTTATACAGAGTATTGTCTCAGTGTCTGTGCTTTCTTACATCCTGTTCCCTCCTTGGCACACTTCAATCTGGCTTCTATCTTTTATACTCTGCTAAAATTGCCAGAGTCTCCAGTGACTTTGATGTTATTGTGTCTAGTGGTTGCCCTTTTGGCTTCCTTATATTTTGAAGCACTTGCTACACTGTGAGCTGTCCACCTTTCTTTCTTTTTCTTTTTTGAGACAGTTTCCCTCTTCTTGCCCAGACTGGAATGGTGCAATGGCATGATCTCAGCTCACCACAACCTCTGCCTGCCAGGTTCAAGTGATTCTCCTGCCTCAGCCTCCCAAGCTGGGATTACAGGCATGCACTACCATGCCCAGCTAATATTGTATTTTTAGTAGAGATGAGGTTTCTCTACATTGGTCAGACTGGTCTCGAACTCCTGACCTCAGGTGATTCGCCTGCCTCGGCCTCCAAAAGTGCTGGGATTACTGGCATGAGCCACTGCACCCAGCCTAGCCCTCCCCATTTCTTAAAACACTTGTTTATTTAACTTCCTAAATACCACACTCTTTTTTTTTTTTTTTTTTTTGTAAAGACAAGTTTGGCCAAGCTGGTCCTGAACTCCTGGCCTCTAGTGATCTGCCTGCCTCGACCTCCCAAAGTGCTGGAATTACAGGTGTGAGCCACTGCGCCTGGCCCTAAATACTTGGACTTACTGGGAATATAACCTAGCAGGTTCTAGTTTTCCTCCTTTTTCCTTTGCTCCTTCTCACACTAAAATATTACAGTGCTAGACTTTGTTCAGTCTCCCTGGGTAATACCCATTCCCAGGGATTTAGATGCCATCTGTATTCTTATAACACCTTAATTTATATATCTAGCCTGGTACTTTTCTCCCTGAAATTAAGCCTGCTCATTTGACCTCGCCATTAAATTTATTTCCAATAAATATCTCCGGCTTTCCTGTTTCATGTAATGGTACAACCATTTATTTACTCGTTCAAGCCAAAAATCAAGAATTATTCTTAATTCCTTTTTTCTTTCCTTTGTCCAATCAGAAGCCAGACTCATTGGCTTTTAACTTCAAAATACGTTTCAAATTAAGTCACTGGGAAAATAAAGTCAAATAACAAATGATTGCATGGTGGCTCACTTGTGCCGTGGCTCACACCTGTAATACCAGCACTTTGGGAGACTGAGGCGGGCAGATCACGAGGTCATGAGTTCAAGACCAGCCTAACCGACAGGTTTAAACCCTGTCTCTGCTAAAAATACAAAAATTAGCCGGGTGTGGTGGCAGGCACCTGTAATCTCAGCAATTTAAGAGGCTGAGGCAGGAGAATCGTTTGAACCTGGGAGGTCAAGGTTGCAGTGAGCCAGGATTGCGCCACTGTACTCCAGCCTGGGTGATAGAGCAAGACTCCATCTCAGAAATAAAATAATAATCTCTGCTTTCAAAGATTGTTCATAGTAGACTGGCAAACTAGCAATTATTTGAAGGTATTAAAATAGAAATTATAGGAGCATTGAGGAGGAGGACATCTGAAACAGAAGCAGTAGGTGTGAGAAGTATAAGAGCAGTCTTCCTGCATAAGTGATGTTTGAGCTGATTTTTTAGAATTTGTGTAGTCCTATAAGCAGGCCAACGTCCACTTTAAGAGAACTGTCTTTTTTAATGTAAATGCTATTATGATACAGAATGATTTAGCCAGGGCTCTTCAAGTAGCTTGGTGTGGCTGCAATAATGTTTTTTGAGGATTAGGTCAGACAAGGGAGCAAGATTCAAATCATTTAGGTTTCCTAAGCAAAAAAGTTTGAAGCTTATGAATGAATTGGACATTTTTTGAAATAGGCCTTAACACACCAGCTTTGCTACTAATTATATGACTTTGAGCCAAAGATCCTGTTTACTGTAAGTAAAAAGCTATTCAGACCTTTTTTAAAAATTTACTGGGAATAAACATCTCAATTTATGTCTCCTGTTAAAGTGTTACTCGTTTGCTTTGAATTTGTTAAATTGTTAAAGTTAAGCTCCCTCTACTTGAGGTGGTCCAAAATAAAAGGATATGCCAGGATTATTTCATATGAGCATTAAAAAATGAATCAGTTAACTTTTTATATTCTGAAATTTTACTCCTCAATGAAATTACAGAAGACACTATGTGTGTACAAGCATTCATGTAGAAAGGGTGCAGGAGGAGAGAGAGAGAATCGCAAGAGCACACCAGTGCAACAGCAGACTACTCCACCAGCAGGTTAGTGCTGCTGGAGGGAGATGAAAAGATTAGGAAGGTAAGAGTCAAAGCTTTGAAGGCTTTGTATTCTAAATTAAGGAATTAGATTTTTAACTGTCATGTGAGGTAGGCATTATCATTATTTTACAAACACAGAATCAGACTCAGAAGTAATTTGGACAAGGTTATATAATACTGGAGAAGCTGAGATTCAAACTCAGGTTTATTTGACTTTATAATCTTTGCTCTAATTCCTCCACCCTGCTGCTCAGTAGGTCCTCTCTGTTTAATCTTAACAATCAATACTGTACAATCTGCTTGTAAACATACAATTTCTTTAAGGACTATGAATTATTAATAATAATAAATGTATTTTAGAGAGAAGAGTCTTAAAAGTTAATTCCAGTTAAGTTTAGAGAGGATTGTTTAGAAAAATAGACTCTTCTAAAAATATTTTTTAAAAAGAAATATAATAGTTTCTAAGATGATTACAAAGAAAATGGGGGTTTCCAGCCTGGGCAACATAGTGAGACCTTATCTCTACTTAAAAAAAAAAAAAATTAAGCAGGCTTTGTGACAGATACCTGTAGTCCCAGCTACTTGAGATTCTGAAGCAGAAGGATTGCCTGAACCCAGAGGAACAAGGCTGCAGTGAGCTGTGATCACACCACTGCACTCCAGACTGGGCAACAGAGTGAGACCTGTCTCAAAAAACAAACAAACAAAAAAAACAACAACAAATAAAACTCCTTATGTATGACTGCACCTTTGCATTCACCATTTACTATTAGTAATGCTCTGTTTTGTCTCAATTCCACTAGACTATGCATTCTTGTAGGACCACAGCATATAGCCTTGTCATTTATGTGTCTTTCTTTGCACATGTTCCAATCATGTGCAAATAATTTTTTAATTAATGCTAATAGTAATATTTGTTGTACTCCAACTATGATTAAGCATTTTTCATAAATTATTTTATTTAGCTCTAACATTCCAAGATTAAATGAGATGGTATGTGCATATTTTCTCATGCTTAACATATTCTCAATAAAAAATGTTAATTATCTTTTCCTGAGTTTTGGGGCACAGCTTTGTGCCATCTCTATGATATCCTTTTGCACCCTTCCCTATTTCTTCTGTTTTCATAGCTCATTATTCATCCCTGTATTATATATGTATGTGTGTATGTGTATAAAATATTATAGCAGACAAATCTCTCTGAGAGTAAAGATTATCTCATTTCTGTTTTTTTAGGGCCCAACATAGAGTCTGACACAGAACAAAGACCATATAAATATTGAAGGCAAGAGCCGGGTACAGTGGCTCTTGCCTGTAATCCCAGCACTTTGGGAGGCCAAGGCGGGTGGATCACTTGAGGTAAAGAGCAACCAGCCTGCAACATGATGAAGCCCCATCTCTACGAAAATTAACCAGACATGGTGGTGCGCATATGTAATCCCGGCTACTCATGTAATCCCAGCTACTCAGGAGGCTGAGGCAGGAGAATCGCTTGAACCCAGGAGACAAGAGATTGCAGTGAGCTGAGATAGTGCCACTAACTCCAGCCTGGGTGACAGAGTGAGACTCTGTGTTAAATGAGGGCTGGGCTCAGTGGTTTATGCCTGTAATCCCAGCACTTTGGGAGGCCAAGGCAGGTGGATCACTGGAAGCCAGGAGTTCAAGACCAGCCTGGCCAGCATGGCAAAAGCCCATCTCTACTAAAAATACAAAAATTAGCCAGGCATGGTGGCATGCACCTGTAATCCCAGCTACTCAGGAGGCTGAGGTGGAAGAATTGCTTAAATCCGGGTGGTAGAGGTTGCAGTGAGCCGAGATCGCACCGCTGTACTCTAGCCTGGGCAAAAGAGTGAGAATCCATTTTTTTTTTTTTTTTTTTTTTTTGAGACGGAGTTTTGCTCTTGTTACCCAGGCTGGAGTGCAATGGTGCGATCTCAGCTCACCGCAACCTCTGCCTCCTGGGTTCAGGCAATTCTCCTGCCTCAGCCTCCTGAATAGCTGGGATTACAGGCATGCACCACCGTGCCCAGCTAATTTTTGTATTTTTAGTAGAGACGGGGTTTCACCATGTTGACCAGGATGGTCTGAATCTCTTGACCTCATGATCCACCCGCCTCAGCCTCCCAAAGTGCTGGGATTACAGGCGTGAGCCACCGCGCCCGGCCAAGAATCCATCCTATAAATAAATAAATAATAAGTAAATAAATAAGAGAAGGAAGGAAATATTAATTTGCATTTTTCTAAAGCATCTAAAATGCTGGAGATAGATAAGTGTATTTATACCATGAAGACTTTCTAGATCTGTTGTTTCATTTCATCCTCTTTAATCTTCTTTCAGGATGTATGTTGTGTTCACAGCGAAGGTACTCCCTCCAGCCTGTCCCAGAAAGGAGGATTCCACACCGATACTTAGGCCAGCCCAGCCCCTTTACACACCCACACCTTCTCAGACCAGGTAAGGCCTTTTAACTATACTGCCTTTCATTTAGGTTCCGTCTAGAGCAATGCTATTCAGTGGAACTTCTTGCCCTAAGCTCTGGACCTGTACTGTTCCATGAGGTAACCATTAACCTTCACATGGCCATTGTACACTAATAAGGTTGCTAGTACAGCTGAGGAACTTAACTTTTTATTTTACTTAATTTAAATTTAAACTTGAATAACTACATGTGGCTACTGGTGCTTTATTGCCAGTACTAGTCTAGAACAAGGTTTAAGTAGGATAAACCTTATAATTCAGAATAATTAATGAAAGGTACGTATTTCAGAATGTTTTTAAAGCAAAGTTCTAAGTCAGTTTTTAGAACTGTATACTATTATGAATTACTGTGTTAAAGACATTTTAGAAAACATGTTCTTCTTCAAATTGTCAAATACTTACTTCATAATTTTAACCTATTTCTATGTAGATTAAGCAAGATTTCCAGCTCTGTTTGTCACAGATTTGAGAGGTAGTATCCTAGTTGATAAAGGTGATGCAAAAAATTGACAAAGGTTTGTTTTACTAATTTTATTTCTGCTGTAAGATCCCAGTGTTGCTGCCAGAGATGTCTTATAACTATTGCCCAAATTTGGACCTAAAGGTTTTTTGTTTTGATAAAAGGCATTTAAGGGGTGAACTATGACTAATGAATATCTCAAAGAGGTAGATAGGGTAAAAGCACACACTTAGTAGAAAAAGTCAGGTTTTCAAGGAAAATTAATTGTTCTTTCTGCCATAAGAAATTAAATCTCTATTTGTTATATAAGCATATATTTTACTAATGTAAATTTGCCTTTAGAAATGTTATTTTTTCACTGTCTCCACTCAGTGAATGATATCAGTATGTCTCTCAGTGAGGGCTTCCTTTTGCTGATTTTTCATCAGACTCGAATTCCTGCTGGGAAGTCTGCTGAGACTAAGGAAATGCAGCTCACCACTGAAACCCACAAGAAATCAGTTTTTCTCAAAGCTGTAAGGTAAGCTTAATAGCAACCCAGTTGGTATTAATTTTAGTATTTATTTACCCTGTCAACCTACCTGTAGCCTTGATTTTTTTTAAGTAGAATTGATAGTAAGTTTTCAGGTTTTGAAAATTATTGATTTCTTGTGGTGAGATATTTTTACATGGTAAGCTGCATTTTCTAGGCCTCAAACCTAGTAATTATATTGTCAGGGTAATGGCCTCTCTATCTAGACGTTTTTCCTGTATACTTTAAGTGCATGTTAACTATAAGTGAATGTAAATAAATATGTATACATATGTGAATATACATACATATGTGAATATCTGGGGTAAAAGGGATGGCTGTCCTAGTTTTTCTTTCCTAGATGTAGGATTTTGAATATTAGGGTAAGTGAGAAGAGATGGAATTTTAAAACAGAATTATTAGGTTTTATACCCTAAACTATGAGGTATACCATTAGGTATACATTTTTTTTGCAGACAGAAGTATCAAAAGAATTAATCATTTGTCTTTTTTCCTTCTAGAGATGTAAAATTTGTGGTGGTGTTAAAATGATTGTAGGGTGAAGACAGGTAAATTTTTGAGAAGAATTAAAAGGGGCCAGGTGCGGTGGCTCACAGCTGTAATCCCAGCACTTTGGGAGGCTTGGGCAACATAGTGAGACCTTATCTCTACAAAAAAGTAAAATTAGCTGAGTGTGGTGGCACATGCCTATAGTCCTAGCTATGCCTATAATCCTAGCACTTTAAGAAGCTGAGGTAGGAAGATTGCTTGAGCCTGGGAAGTCAAGGCTGCGGTAAGTCGAAATGGTGCCGCTACACTCCAGCCTAGGCAACAGAGCAAGACCCTGTCTCAAAAATAAAATAAAAGAAATAAAAAATATGCCAAGTGCGGTGGTTTACGCCTGTAATCCCAGCACATTGGGAGGCCAAGGCGGGCAGATCACGAGGCCCGGAGTTTGAGACCAGCCTGACCAACATGGTGAAATCCCATATTTGTATTTGTAAAAATACAAAAATTAGGCAGGTGTGGTGGCATGCACCTGTAGTGCCAGCTACTCCAGACGCTGCCACAGCAGGAGAATCACTTGAACCTGAGAGGTAGAGGTAGCAGTAAGCTGACATCACGCCACTGGCATCATCATGCCAGCCTCGGCGACAGAGCAACACTCTATCGCCAAAAAAAGAAAAAATAAATAAATATAATGGCAGAGACAATAAAATTATGGTCAATATAATATTTTAAATGATGAAAAGATTGGTTCCAGAGTGGGTTATAGTTAATAATTCCCAAATCTTTTTCCCTTTAGAGTTTCAAAGTCAGCTGCCGATCTTTCAGTGATAGTTTAATTGTGCTGTCCCTTGAGCAAGGGATGCATTTTATTTTTAAAAGTTGTTAAATATGGTAGATTTCAATAATATCCAAAAGTGAAAGATTTTATTTTGGGTGGTGGTAAGGTTTTTTTTTTTTGAGACAGAGTTTCACTCTTCTTACCCAGGCTGGAGTGCAATGGCACGATCTTGGCTCACTGCAACCTCCGCCTCCTGGGTTCAGGCAATTCTCCTGCCTCAGCCTCCTGAGTAGCTGGGATTATAGGCACATGCCACCATGCCCAGCTAATTTTTTATATTTTTAGTAGAGACGGGGTTTCACCATGTTGAACAGGATGGTTTCGATCTCTTGACCTCGTGATCCACCTGCCTCGGCCTCCCAAAGTGCTGGGATTACAGGCTTGAGCCACCGCACCCAGCCAGTGGTGGTAAGATTTTTATACCATTTAAAGTTTAAAATAAAGCTTGATAGCCAATTTGGGGAGTTAGTAAGAAAAATAAAAAATAAATAAAATGATTCTTGAGTCCAGAAGATCAAGGCCATAGTGAGCCATGATTGCACCACTGTAATCTAGTATAAATAAAAAATAAAATGAATGATGCTTGCCCAGGGGGTCAAGGCTGTAGTGAGCCATGATTGCGCCACTGCACTCTAGACTGGGTGACAGAGTGATACCCTATCCCAGAAGAATTTTAAAAATAAAATGTATTAAGTAATAACAGAAATTGGAAATGGTTTGGATTTGTCTAGACGGTTGGGTAAGCATTTTTTTTTTTTTTTGAGTCGGAATTTCGCTCTTGTTACCCAGACTGGAGTGCAATGGCGCGATCTCGGCTCACCACAACCTCCGCCTCCTGGGTTCACGCAATTCTACTGCCTCAGCCTCCTGAGTAGCTGGGATTACAGGCACGCGCTGCCATGCCTAGCTAATTTTTTGTATTTTTAGTAGAGACGGGGTTTCACCATGTTGACCAGGATGGTCTCGTTCTCTTGACCTCGTGATCCACCCGCCTTCGCCTCCCAAAGTGCTGGGATTACAGGCTTGAACCACCGCGCCCGGCTGGGTAAGCATTTTTGAAATACAAATATATGCCGGGACCCTATGGAGCTATTGAATGAGCATCTCAAAGGGAGGGCTTAGAACCTGTGTTTTTGTTTTTTTGAGACAGGTTTTTATTCTGTCTCCAAGGTTGGAGTACAGTGCTCATGGAGATCATGGCTCACTGCAGTCTTGACCTCCCGGGGTTAAGCAGTCCTCTTGCCGAAGCCTCCTGAATAGCTGAGACTATAGGCATTTACCACCATGCCCAACTAATTTTTGAATCTTTTATAGAGATAAGGTCTCACTATGTTGCCCAGGCTCGTCTTGAACTCCTAGACTCAAGCAGTTCTACCACCTTGGCTCCCAAAAGTGCTGGAATTACAGGCATGAGACACCATATCCGACCAGAACTTGTGTTTTGAAGAGTTCCCAGGTGTTTCTCATGAACACCACTAACCTAGGGGGTATTCATTTAGTTAGGTGCATGAGATGCCTGATGCCTTAAGGGGACAAGCCAAGGCTGGGCGTGGTGGCTCACACCTGTAGTCCAAGTACTTTGAAGGCTAAGGTGGGGGGATCACCTGAGGTTAGGAGTTCAAGACCAGCCTGACCAACATGGTGAAACCCTGTCTTTAAAAATAATAATAATAATGATAAATAAATAAAAAGGGGACAAGCCAGATCTGTGGCCATCGGCCGTGTTTTGAAGCAGAGAATGTTTTTCCCCATGCTTCTGTAGTCTCATCCCCAGTCACTCAGTTCTTAAATTCATTCACATCTTTATCTTCATCGCCACCATCAATTAAGTGATGACATTACATTTAACCATTTCAAAACACTTTTTAAATAGATTGTACCTGATAGAATAGTAGACTAAAAGTTTTATATCCTATAGGTTTTAAATTTAAGTTCAAGGTCTACTTTTTCTATAAGTATTTCACCGTGAAGCCTACCTGTTCTTATAAAGTAATATGTTTTCTTTTCTCAGCGTACCTATATGACTGTATTATTTTTTATTTTTATTTTTTTGAGATGGGGTCTTGCTCTGTCTCCCAAGCTGAACTGCAGTGACATGATCATATCTCACTGCAGTCTCAACCTCCCAAACGATCCTCCCACCTCAGTTTCCAAGTAGTTAGGACTACGGGCATAAGCCACCATGCCCAGCTAATTTTTAAAATTTTTGTAGAAATGGGTTCTCACTGTGTTGCCCAGGCTAGCTTATGTAACTGATTATATGTTTTCCTCTTGTCTTTGTCTCCTGATTCAATTTTAATGCGGAGTAGAGAATGTAGTCTCTATATATGTAAATAAGTTTATAGATGAATAAACCTATTTTTTACTTACATGTCTAATACATATTGACAAACCATTTCAAGATGCCATTATACCAATAATCTATAAACTGCCGTCTAGTGAAGAATTATAGAGGATTTCTCTGTTTGTTTTTAAGCCCTAGGGAGCAATAGAAAATCTTGAAATATAGTAAAGTTTTTATGTAGTATAAATACTAGAAAATTAAAAATAAATGACTTAGCTGGGCACGTGGCTCACAACTATTATCTCAGCACTTTGGGAGGCTGAGGTGGGCAGATTGCTTTAGGCCCAGAGTTTGAGAACAGCCTGGCCAACAT